AGAACACTATTATTTTATTACATTCATTCTTAAATTGCCTATGAGAACTGATTTTCATCCAATATATTTTAATTTTTCATGGGAACACGATTTTTAATCCGCTAAGCATGACAGCGTTTTCCGAATATACGCGAGGCTACGCGAAACTCGGAGATCCATTTAATACCGGTAAGTACGGTGCAAAGAGTACTTTGTTTTAAATTTGGTGTTCATATAGTTGAGTATTGCTCTCTTGTTTCTTAGTTTAGTTCAGCATATTTCTCCGAAATGAGGGAACCCGTTGTTAGCGAGTCTGATTCGTGAGAGAGTCTGATATATGACATTCTTGGTATTTCAAATCCCGCTACTGGAAGTAAGTAATACTAAGTGAAGCAAGTTTCATTTATTGAGACGAGCATACTCTTTAATTATAATCACAAGCGACTTCAGTTTTGAATGAAAACACAAAAATTAAAATATCAGTAATTTAACTTTCATGAACACGTAATTCAGTCTCTTCTCATAAATAAAATCAGAATTTAATGTTTGAGAAACGGGCTTTGTAAAATTATGTGATTTATAAGAATTAACGGGCAATTTAAGTGTAGATAGTTTATGGGCCGTTTATAAATTATGCATAATCAGACATGGGCCTATGATAACCAGAACATTGGTAGGTAAATTTTTTATGGACATCATGAAGTCAGTTCTCAAGTTATGAAGTCAGTCCGCAATATATCTTAACCAAGTTTGTTATTTTTTAATCAGTAATTGTTTTAAGTATTTTTACTTCATTTATTTAATACATATGTGAGAGCCAAAACAATATATGGTATCGATAAATTCCACTCGCTATATTAGGTGTTTATACACATTTACTTTGTTAGTTGTTGTTTACTTTTCACGGTGTTTTTACTGTTGTTGTTTTAGTTATCGTATAAGCACATACACAGAGATAACAGCAGTGATGTAATTTATCTCATGTTGTGCAGGAAATGATTGGGTGGCTAAGTTTTTAGCTTGCTCAAAGATAGATATTTTGTTTTGAACTCGACCGTGGTACAAAATTTGGACAGTGATACAAAATAAGTTGCCGAAACCTCGAAATATGTTTAAAAGTGTACTATAAAAGCAATATTTCGATCAGGATTAATAATTCAGCCACCCTGTTTACCCAGTGTGTACCAAAGTAAGGAGGAAGTGCTGAATTGCAAAGAAGTACAGTCCTTTGAAATATAATAGTTCGTCACATATCCTGCATAACGCTCTGTTTTTCACAGTAAAGTGAACTTCGGAGATCCAACGAGATGTGTATTCGAAGTGTTATATGGTTGTAGGCGACGAAAGCGTGTTCTATTCGGCTGTTTGTATTTCGCAGCCCTAATAAAATGAATAACCGCGGTCCCTCATCCGGTTAGCAGTACCGTGTTGGGTCATAATAGATAGGTTTCGGGAGAGAATCTCAATATATTGTTCAATGTGTAATCTGTGAACGAGGGTAGAAACAACACATTTCCCCGATCCCTGGTGTTCATTCGCTTCTTTAATAACAGACTCACTGCATAGATGCTATAATATTTATGTGTCGATATTACATGAAATAAATACTTGATTTTATTGGCATGCAAGTTGTTTCAATCTTTTACTTAATTCAAAGATTATACGGCTCAGTACCGGGATTTCAAAAACTTGCTCCGAAATCCAAACCCTACTAGGGTTGCTCCTCCGTTATGACGTTAGCCGCCGTTATGAGGTCATAGACCTAACGAACACCCAGCCTACGAATCGATAAGAGGTAAAAATAACATCATAAAATTAATGAGCATGCCGTCAATACTTCAATACTGTATTTTACAATTTGCTTATAATATATTTATATTGGAATACATTTGGCGGACCGGCAGCAAGGTTGCCGCGGACCGGCGGTTGAGAACCACTGCTCTACACTACATAATCACATCGATTTTTCAATAACACTAAGAGCGTTACTACTACATGCATCAAATATTTCTGTTTATCCTGCCGAGTTTCAAAAACTTTCGGAGTCAAATTATCATTTAGAATTATCAATCGAAAAATTGTATTCAATACAGCGATGTTCAACGTCATTCACACAATTCTATTTTGACACCTTGATCTCCTATTATCAGAACCGTCCTTTAACATACACCATTCATGTGCTGCTTTTTAGCAGAATAAAACCTGGAACCTCTAACCTGCAATGCAAGCATGGTGATTCACCCTTTTACATAAAATCCCAACAACTCGTTTGCAACATTTATGTTTCTATACCCATAAATTTAAAAATCGTTACAGCCGTGGTCGGCAAACTTTATGTAGTGCCGCGCCAAATATACATTTCCGAAAGCGTGTGCGCCACATTAATTTCTGCCTATTGACAATCGTTTCACTGAACTTCAAAATATGCCGAACCTGCAATGAGGTGTGTTTGCGATCATAAAATAAATAAATGTGAAATATCGATTTGGCCACGAACACCTGAATCTAGCAGGAATACTAGTGGATTATATATAATATACCCGTGTATCTGACTCACAATCTACAACTGATTGACTCCCGAATTAACAACATTATACAAAATTGATTCTAAATTTTGAATGTAAACTTGCGGAGCCCCTGAACTGGGTTAAAGAAACTCTGCCGCGGAACCCTGGTTGAAAACCACTGCCTTACAGGTTCACTCGAAACGAATTATTGTCGAAACGGTTTCTCTTTATATAACCCTATCATTATGCTACAAACCTGCATGACGTAACATCCTTGGTAAACCGCGACAACCTATGTCATGTCCTCTCCCCCACACGACGTAATAACAACGCTCATAACAGCATTTGTTAGGATATCCGAGATATAGGGTGTCCATAAGTCTTAAAATATTTTAAAATTGCAAAGGGAATTTATCGAAAATATATATTGTTTTGAACCTCACAGGTGTATATAATGAAATGAAATTACTTGAACAATTACTGATTAAAAAACAACAAACTTGGTTGAGATATATTGAGAACTGACTTCGTAACAAAATTGAAATTGTAAAAAGACTGTATGGACACCCTGTATATCCACTAGCCCAGAATAGTGAGACCATTGTACCAAAGCGAAACCATTTTTGAGAAACCTGGAAAAACATGCATAATACATTGATAACATACATAATAGCATTATTAACAGCGATATTTTAATACTCAGGAAGATATATCTGCCAAGTGCTATGAAATATATACGCGCCCTTTATGATTTCCGATTGGTCGATCACTTCCTGAAATTAAATTTTTTTTCAAAATCTTCAAATTTCGTGTACCGAGATCATGATAAGATGTGATACAATCAGGTCTTTCTTAATATGACGTAATACGACGCTTACTCGCGGCTGTCGCTCTGTACAAGGCCAGATACAATCAGTCAATGATATTTAACGATATTCTAAATATTCTCTCTTCACAGACTTACTCCACTAATTTATTACATCCTGGATGAGATAGCGGGCATGGGATTCGAACCTGAGATGTCATCAGAATTACCGTATTGTACGAACCACAAAGCGCATTTTTTCTCGCAAATCGATCGCCATATAAGCCAATGTTCCTATCCACATATGCCCTTACGTATGAAAAAAAAACAATCTAATCAATTCATTGACAGTGTGTCTTATAATTCCGCTCGATTTATAAAATACATTTGCCTTACTTATTAATCTCCCGATGACCAGGGGCAACCTGTCATGTCCTCCCGATATAACCGATGACATCCAGGTCGTGCTTCCTCTACACTACATAATCACATCGATATTTTAAGAACGTTAAGAGCGCTAGACAGCCCAAAATATATATATTTTATGGGGGACCAAATATTTTAATATGACGTAATACGGCTGATTCAGGACCTTAGAAATCCGGGTTTGGGGCTTTCTCAATCTCAAACGCGGGTTTTATTTTCTCCCGAAGTGATGCGTTTAATGTTGTATATTTGCAAATAACTAAAACACCTGCCTTTCAGTTAAGACCACACTCAAATTGTTACAACTTATTGCCGAATGGTTCACTCCGAACGACAACGAATTATTTGTCAAAACGGTTTCGCTTTTTTTGATCCTATTATTAATATTTTCTATGCTACAAACCTGCATGACGTAATATCATTAGTGAACCGCGGCAACCTAGGTCATGCCCCCTTCCCTCACACAATGTAATAACAACGCTCATAACGGCATTTGTTAGGCTATCGAAGATATAGGGTGTCCATAAGTCTTAAAATATTTTATATTTTGCAAAGGGAGTTCATCGATACTCTCGTCCAGTTACCAGTACCGTGTTGGGTCATATTAGATATTAGGTTTGGGCAGAGAATTCCGATATATTGTTCTAAGTGTAATCTGTGAACGAGGGTAGATTCAACGCTTTTCCCAGATATCTGGTTTCATTCGCTTCTCCAATAACTGACTCACTGTTTCAGAACAAGAACGAAGAAACCCAAAAATGATCGAATCAATATTTATTATCATGTTTGGTTATATACAGAAATCACATGGAGACAGCTATGAATTTATTTACTGAGCAAATACGTTTCAATAGACAAGGCGACCAGTTCAAGGCATGGGTTATACGGTTAATAATAAAATAATAGTATAGAAACAATATATAAGTAAGCAGTGGCAGGATTCAAGAGGCTCTTGCAAACCGTTCCTGTTTTTTTATGATTTAGTTCAGTATGTTTCTCTAAAATGAGAGAACCCGTTGTTAGCGAGTTCGGTGCAATAGAGAACCCGTTCTTAGTTTTTTGAGTTCTGCCACTGAAAGTGAGTAATAATAAGTAAAAAGCAAGTTTCATTTATAATAGGACGAACATACTTGTATGGCCTTTCTCTAATTCTAATCACAGGCCGACTTCAGTGTGGAATAATAATGCATAAGTAAAAATATCAGTAATTTAACTTTTATAAACATGTAGCTTAGTCTCCTCTCATAAATAAAATCACGTTTTAAAGGTTTTAATGCTTGGAAAACAGTCTTTGTAAAAATATGCGATTTAGTGAAATTGAAGAGTAATTTAAGATCGAATCGTTCATGGGCAGCTTATAAATTTTGCATAATCAGACATGGACCTATCATAATTTGAACATTTAGAACAACGGCCATAGAAAAGCGAACAAAAATTTTAATGAAAATCTATATAGATAACAACAGTCATTTAACTGTTTTTGTCTTTTTTATCATTGAATCGTCAACAAAGTTCTGTCAGGTTTTGATCTGGTTTAATATTTCACAGATGACACCGTGGAATGAGTGGGATGGTGAACGATTGAACATTCCCTGATCTGCATACTCTGGATCTTTATCGACAACAACACCAACATTTGTCCGCGATGCTTCGGGACTCGGATAATCAGGAAACCACACTTCTGTTGCTATAGTGATTGGTTTTCCATTGGATAGCAAAAGCTGATTGTTCTGTCACAATTGAATGAACAGGTTAAATATCTGTTGCTTGAAATGTTAATACAACTGACATATTAGATGGAGAATAAAAATATTTGCGTGTAGGAATAGGCTCCGTAGTAAAGATAATAGGGGGTAACGTTACATAAAAATGGGTAAAAAGCAGAAATTAATGAATTAAAAATGCTAAAATATTTGGAAATTAAAAAAAAACGCGATCGGACGACTCGGATATGACGTCATAATATCTTGGAAATCATTTAATATTTTTAATTTTTATTAATCGCCTAATTTAATCATAAGGCATCGTTAACCTGTCCATCATTTGATACTTTTAATAATAAACCGCTTTTGATAAATCGACCCAATATGAAGTTTACAAAAATGCGTCAAACTCTGCTGAGATTGTGATCCATCAACTGACCTTGTATTCCATCCCAGTCCAGATCCGCATCAATATCCGACCGGCAATATATGGCCAACCACCACCAGGAATCGGTGAACGTAGATAAGGGAGCAGCAGCTGGTAATGCTTGAGGTCGTAAATATTCGCGGGTTTTCCGTTCTTTGATTTGCAGATTGCTTTGGCATCGGTGAAGGTAACATTCCGTACATCATACACAACTGCTCGGTAGCATTTTTTCTTGTATGTGACGTCACACTTAGCTGAAAACATTATTGTAGTCATTGAATATTTAATTTAAAAAAAAGACAATTTCATAAATGACGTCATAGAATCTGGGAATAAAAGTCGGTTTGTTAGTTCAATGCGAGTTTGTCTTGGCATCTATTATTTCTAGGAGAAAAAAGCCGATAAGACGAACTAAGAACGGCGGAACAGATTGCAAGTTCAGATGTATGGCGGTGGACGGAGTCGTAACCGACTGTTGGTGGGTTAATCGCGCAGCTACGACCAGGATTCTAATACTTGTAATATTAGGTGAATTAAATCTATTTTCAAACCCACGCGACATCCATTTCTAGCGCTTGGCGGGTGTGGCATATTTTAGTCAAATCATAAAACAAAAATATAAATTACTTTCAGCCTTTATCTTCTCATCACGACTCTTCTTAATCAGTCTGACGATATCTGTAAGAAAATTGATTTATTTGTGAGTAAGGAAAGGCGTTTCTAAATCAGTCTTGCAATGTTATTTTTCTCGTATGACATTAAATACCTTTAACTAACCATAATATGACAACAGCATATAAAAGCGTTGTTAATTTTTTTTTTTTAGCAAAGTCCAGATCTAGAATTTATCAATCCTGATATATAATAATAGTCACAAAAATTGTTGTGACTGAGTTTTGCCAAACTTTTCACAAGATTGAAAATTACAGGCAATTGAAATGCATTGCCAGAAAAATTTTAGAAAGCGGCGTTTCACCAAATAAGAGCCTAATTCGGAATTAAAAGTCTTAATTGAAAACTATTACTCTTTGACAGTTTATTTTGAACCCGTGCGTAAATATGAATCAAAGTCATATGTTTAGTGCAGGATAATTATTTGTGAGCCCAAAACATATCATAGAGTAGGAAGAACTCACCGGATCCATCGTTTTTCTGTGAAATAAATAAAAAATGCAAATGATTGGTAAAGTAATTATAACACGTAAGTTGTACCAGATTTGATTAGTTGTGTGACATGCATTCAGAAGTCGGATTTAAAATTGTTTACGCGATTCAGAAAATAAAAGCTTTCAGTCAGTTGAAAAATTAGCGTTTCTTGAACAGTGGTTCCCAAATCGCGGCTGGCGGGCTAATTAATACCCACGTAACAATTTAGAATGGCCCGCCGTACTCGAGTGAAATAGTTTAACAGTTTATGTTTTCTTTTTGTGTTCTAGATGCCGCTAATTAGAGAGATCGTTGCCTGCTTGCTCAAAGCCTTGTTTGGAGTCAAAGTGTGAAAATGCCCGATTAAAAAAATAGCAACTGTAATTTTACCTCGCAATCTCCAACTTGAACGAGTTTCCCATTCACGATCTTGGAAACGCATGCTCCAGCTGTCAAAAATAAAACGTAAAGTTAAATATAACGACATCTTGCGCCAATTGCGACACTGATAGAGAATGATATTAATAAATGATTTAGGAATCTCCGGTATTGTAGCATTCTTGGCCTCAGAAGCCAGGCATGCAATTCAGTGTTACAAAATATAACAGTGATTTTATCCAAAACAAATCTTACCGGGTACTTTTTGCTTCGCATACAATCCATAGATGAGAGAGATGAACAAAATAATTTTGACGAAGTCCATGTTTATTTCTAGAAAGGCTTGATGACACAACTAAAGGCTTAGTTATAAAGTGAATACCTGTAAAAATATTTAAAGCAATTATATGTTTGGTGCCGCCATTATTAGCTGTCTAAATTGAGATTTGCTACTCCTGCTAGTCGTCATACCTCAAGTCTTATCAATAATATCTCACTGCGCATTTTATCACTGTTTAATCCTGAACCCTTTTTCGCGTAGCAACCATTTACGTCATTTCCTCTGTCACACTGAAATTCATTTTGCTTGGCTGACAAAAACTGATAATGAGTCACCCGCCATGCGAAGAAAACCATTTGCATTATTGTTTTGCATTTTATCGACTTACAAGTGGGAATTTTATGCACGCTCTAACAACGTGATTGAAATGATACGTATTGTATTGTTTCGCGTGATTTCCAAAGCTACATCTCGTCTGAAACTCGTAGGGTTTTCACAATGTCATGAGTTGGTGCTCCCGAGGTATATGTACCAAGATGGCGCACAACCTGAACATAGTAACATAACATAATTCAGGTTGTGCGTCATCTTGGTGCAAATACATCCGGAGCGCCCATTAGTTTAATATTGAAGCCCGCAGTCGATCGAAACAAGGAAATATTCTTGTCTTATGGTACAGGCACAGGCAATTTGAGTCTTTAAAAATGGCTGCCAAATAAACCCCCTAGATATGCCATAAAATCTCTACAAAATATAAAATTAAGATTTCCGATCTCAGTTTGCATTTAGAACGGGCTTTCTACGTCAGATTTCATGGATTTTTGTGGTAAAGATGTGAAACTTCTCATGGAAACAATCCGGAAATTAATCAAATTTTTCAATGACCTTTAACCCGGGAAAAATCTCGTGGAAAAAGACGCAGTAACATTAATAATGTTTAGAGGTTTTACGATATTAGTTGGTTCGCCACCCAAATAATTTCAAGTCTACTGGAACTCAAACGTTCCTGATCTTAATTAAGCTTCTCGCAAAGTTGCTTGAATTACGCATGATCCAACGAACTAACCTGAACGAACCACAAATATCAATCATACACTGCGGACCTCTGACGATCTTTTACTGACAGAGAGGGAGAGAATTTATTGCTTTTTCGTCAAACCGGGAAAACAAAACGATCTTATACGTGTATACAAAATAAGAATTCGGAGTTCTCGGTAAATGACTGGGAGGTAACGATACGACCAATAAGGTACTCACAGTCCGTTACCACCCAGATCACACCATTCACATCACAACTGCCAGACTTACACATTCCTGTCTCTATTCAATTTATAACTGCTAGTTCTCATACCGCGAGTTTTACAAATAATATCTCACTGCGCATTTTATCACTGTTTGATCCTGAACCCTTCTTCGCGTAGCAACCATTCACGTCATTTCTCCTGCCACATTGAAATTTAGTTTGCTTGGCTGTCAAAAGTGATAATGAGTCACCCATCCTGCAAAGAAAACCATTTGCATTATTGTTTTGCATTTTATCGACATGCAAATATGAATTTTATGCACGCACTAGCAACGTGAGTGAAAGGTATGTATTGTCTTGTTTCGCGTGATTCCCAAAGCTACATCTCGTGTGAAACATGTGAGGATTTTAAGAATATCATGAGTTGAATATCGATCAAAACAAAACAATTCCAGTCTTATGGTACAGATTTGGCCCCCACAGGCAATTTGAATGAGCCTTTAGAAATACCTGCCAATTAAATGCCCTGCCCTAGATATGCCGTAAAACCTCTACAAAATATAAAATTAAGATACTAGATCTCATTTTGCATTTAGATCGGGCTTTCAGTGTCTGATCTCAAGGAGCTTTGTTCCGGGAAAAGATGTGAAACTTCTCATGGAAACAATCCGGAAATCAATCAATTTCCAATGACCTTTGACCCGGGAGAAATCTCTGATCAGTTTATTACTGATTCACCAAATTTCCACGATTGACATCTGAATATCTGTTGCGCTGGAAATATTTAAGAATAAACGAGGAAAAGAGACCGATAGGACGGTATACAATATTTCAAGTGCCAAGTTTGGATCGAGAAGTCGAACGCCAAAAATAATATCGGTAAAAATGAACCTTGACTTAATCATTGGGTATTTGAGAGCAATTTCGTGGTTTTGCGTTTCGCTGACTTTGAAGTTTCTACGCCGCGCGTAAGTCGGGAGGTCTGCGTTGTTTTGAGTCATTTCTCATTCCTATATTTAACTGTTAAAAGATAAAAGCAAAGACGTTCAATTCAGTAACTATAATTTGAATTATACAATGTCTGAATATGCAATTTGAATCAATTTTTATGATCGTTTTGCATTTTCCCGCCATTTCCTCTGTAACATCTAGCTATTTGCATCTTATCGACATTTGAATGAAAATTTTATGCATGCACTAGCAACGTGACCGTAATGGTTTGTAATGTCTTGTTTCGCGTGATTTCCAGAACTACATCTTTTGTGAAACTCGTGGGGATATTCAGCTTATCATGAGTTGGTGCTCCCGAAGTATGTGAATAAAGATGGCGCACAACCTGATCCTTGTATGTGTACCAGTACACGGTTCAGGTTGTGCGTCATCTTGGTACGAATACATCCGGAGCGTCCATTAGTTTAATATTGAAGCCCGCACTCGATCGAAACAAGGAAATATGCTAGTCTTATGGTACAGGCACAGGCAATTTGAGTCTTTAAAAATGGCTGCCAATTAAACCCCCTAGATATGCCATAAAACCTCTACAAAATATAAATTTAGATTTTAGATCTCATTTTGCATTTAGATCGGTCTTTCAGTGTCTGATTTCACGGAGCTTTATTTTGGGTAAAGATGTGTAACTTCTTATGTAAACAATCTGGAAATCAATCAATTTCTAATGACCTTTGACACGGGAAAAACCTCTGATCAGTCTATTACTGATTTACCAAATTTCCACGATTGACATCTGGGAAAGGGGGGAAAAGAGACCGATATGACGGCATATATTATTTTAAGTGCCAAGTTTGGATCGAAAAGTCAGTCGAACAACAAAAATAATATCGGTAAAAATGAACCTCGACTCAACCTATTTGAGAGCGGTTTCGTGGTTTTGCATTTCGCTGACTCTGAAGTTTCTACGCCACGCGTAAGTCGAAAGGTCTGCGTTGTTTTGAGTCATTTCCCATTGCTATACTTAACTGTAAAATGTAGAAGCAAGGACGTTCAATTCGGAAACTAAAATTTGAATATTCCAATGTCTGAATATGTAGTTGGAAGCAATTTTTTGGATCGTTTTGCATTTTCCCGCCATTTCTTCTGCAACATCTAGCTATTTGCATCTTAGCGACATTTGAGTGAAAATTTTATGCACGCACTAGCAACGTGACTGAAATGGTTCGTACTGTCTTGTTTCGCGTGATTTCCAGAACTACATCTTTTGTGAAACTCGTGAAGATATTCAGCTTATCATGAGTTGGTGCTCCCGAAGTATGTGAACAAAGTTGGCGCACAACTTGATCATAGTATGTGTCCAGGTCATGGATCAGGTTGTGCGCTATCTTGGTACGAATACATCCGGAGCGCCGATGAGTTTAATATTGGAACCCGCACTTGATCGAAACAAGTACAGGCAATTTGAATGTGTCTTTAGCAAAGGCTGCAAATTGAACACCTAGATGAAAACCTCTACAAAATATAAAATCACGAATTTAGATCTCATTTTGCATTTAGATCGGGATTTTGGTGTCTGATTTTAAGGATTTTTGTTCTGGTTAAAGATGTGAAACTTCTCATGGAAACAATCCGGAAATCAATCAATTTATAATGACCTTTGACCCGGGAAAAATCTCTGATCATTCCATTACTGATTCACCTAATCCCCACGATTGACATCTGAATATCTGTTGCGCTGGAAATATTTAGGAATAAACGAGGAAAAGAGACCGATATGACGGTATACATTATTTCAAGTGCCAAGTTTGGATCGAAAAGTCGTTTGAACGCCAAAAATTTTATCGGTAAAAATGAACCTCGACATAACCTATTTGAGAGCAGTTTTGTGGTTTTGCGTTTCGCTGACTTTGAAGTTTCTACGCCACGCGTAAGTCGAAAGGTCTGCGTTGTTTCGAGTCATTTCCCATTGCTATATTTAACTGCAATAAGGCAAAAGCAAGGACGTTCAATTCAGAAACTGAAATTTAAATCATCCATTGTCTGATTATGTAGTTGGAAGCAATTTTTATGATCATTTTACGTTTTCCCGCCATTTCTTCCGAAACATCTAGCTATTAGGTAAATTGGAATAGAATTGATTTACATATTTATCCCGAGGGGCGACGGGCAATAATACGGCTTAAACGTATGGCGAACCATGTTTCTCTTGCTTGGCTGACAAAAAGAAATCGTGTTTATTATGCCCATGCATGTTTGGTAGACACATGTAAATTATATGACTGACACGGGCAAACTACGACCCGCGGTCCAAATTCGGCCCGTTGAGTTATTCAATACGGCTCGCCTGATGCTGTCACAACCAACTTAGTTCTAGTAAAATTTTTAGGTTTGAGATAAAAAAAAAATAGCTCAAGGATTTTGTTCAGATTGCGATTAAGTTTATTCCTGGAAAGAGGTTCATTGTTTTCCACTTTTGCTTTTGAAATACTGTAAATATTATTTATAAAATGTAACTTTGTACGTAACACTTACATGGCCCGCCAGTCTAGGTGGGCAAAATTTTTGGCCCTTGATCAAAAAACCTCGCCAACATTGCGAACTTGCTCACCCTGAGTTGGTGCTCCCTAAGTATTCGCACCACGATGTGGCATAACCTGAACATAGAATGTGTACCAGGCTTGGGTTGTTCAGGTTGTGCGTCATCTTGGTACTCCCGGAGCGCCCAGGGTGAGCAATTTGTTGTTGGGGGAACTTGCATTATCAGGACTGGGCAGCTGTATTCGGAGCCATGGAGCTGTGACATTTTGGTGAAGAAAAAAACTTGCCATGTTAGATGGAGCCAGAGCTACCAGAAATTTTAGTGGCTCCAGCTTCTAAGCATCATTCTCAGCTAATAATATTAATTTAAAACGAAAAAAGGGACCGATGGGACAGCATACGTTAATTCAAGTGCCAAGTTTGGATCGCAAAGGCAGTTGAACGCAAAAATATTATCGGTAAAAATGAACCTCAACTCAACCTATTTGAGAGCAGTTTCGTGATTTTGCATTTCGCTGATTTCGAAGTTTCTACGCCACGCGTAAGTTGAAAGGTCTGCGTTCTTTTGAGTCATTTCCCATTGCTATATTTAAATGTGAAAAGGTAAAAGCAAGGACGTTCAATTCAGAAACTAAAATTTGAATATTCCAATGTCTGAATATGTAGTTGGAAGCAATTTTTATGATCGTTTTGCATTTTCCCGCCATTTCCCCTGAAACATCTAATCTAACTAATAAAGGTAAATTAGGACAAGTACGTAGAATACAGTACACGTAGAATATAGGACATTGTTGGGTTGTCTAAAGAACATTCTTTTTATAAGAGATTCAGTCAAATATAAGATTTTCATCTTTATAATAATAGAGGGTTGCTAATGAGACGGCGGCTGGACTATCTGGATTTTGGCAATCTACTTGCACAGTAGATGCCGAGTTACGTGAACCACCTTACGGCGGCGATGAGTCTCTCTCAGCAATCTCTCATGATTATCCTGGTAGAAAGGCCGACAAATCGACCTAATCATATGGCTTACAATGACCTCTCATCCGGTTGCCAGTCCATGTCGTGTATGGGATTAGTTAGCCATGGACCTGATAGCAGATGAAGTCGTAGCCGACAAGTGGTTACGTGAACAACCCACCTCACGACGGCAAAGGTATTTCTTTTCAAGGACAGCAATCCTGTCACACACGGGATACTAACCTGCAGACCCACGCAGGGTGATCACAGGTGCAATGGCGAGCAATTTTTTTTTAGCTAAGAGCCACACAGCCGAGTCTGATGGTTAAGGAAGTTGGTTTAGCCTTTACATGGGCAAAATGCGGCCCGTTATGTAATTCAATCTGGCCCGCCTGATGCTGCCGAACTAAACTTTGGTGCTTTAAATTCTTGGAGATGTAATTAAATTTAGTTTTGCCACGAGGCTTACTGCTTTCCACTTTTGCAATACTGTAAATATTGTGCATAAAATATATTTGTTTATGTAACACTCACATGGCCCGCCAGTCTGGGTGGGCACAATCTGTGGCCCCTGGTTCAAGCCTGATGGCCGGCTCCAACCTTGCTAGAATTATTCCAAATCTGGCAACATCTCTACGAAAAAGATTATAAAAACGGCCAGTTTGCAATCCTTAAAATTTTATTTTGGCAATAACACTTATAACCATTATAAGATTGAGCAGTCAGTGTGAGAACAAATAAAGCTTCTGCTGTAAAGTGGAATTCGCATGATTGGTGGACAAAATGTACTTTCGCAAAGATAGCAGAAATGATGAAATGTAGCCACGGGGGCAGTAAATGATTGAGTGGCTTGTTTGACAGATAAAATATGGCAACACACGGAACGGAAATACAAAAAAGTTGTCAAAATCTCGAAATATCTTTAAACATGAGAAAGTACTATGCGAGCAGAATTGTTCAAGTCATTTTGAGACAAGGATTATTAATATCTAAACTCCCATGCACCAGGGATATTTCGAATACATTCGAAATTATTTTTTTCGAATATGAAATTTCGAATACTTCGAAAATAAAATCCACTAATTGAAGCTTATCTAAATGTATGTAGGAATTTCCATACAATAAGCAATGGAATAACTGCTATCTACAAGTTACAACCTAGCTATATTACCAGGCATTTCATATTTGCAGAGTTATTGCAGTATATATTTTATATACCATGAGTCATATTAACAGAATTAAATTAATACGACAATAGTGGTATCGATGATGGATTTGAATATTTGCGCAACACAAAATCATCATAGTAAAACGGCCATACTTTTAAATACCAACCATTATCCAAATTATTTGTCAAAAAGCGGGATAAAGTATGAGGTATTTTTCCGACTTGTGACATTTTTTTCGTTAGTACAAAAATACGAATCAAAAATTAATTATATTTGGGAACTTTACCACACATTTTAAGTCCGCAGATCGCCGTTGTATGTTTGAGTAATAATACTTTTATTATTTCATAAATATGAAAATAGGAATCAAAAACTATTTATAATCGGGTAGTTTACCACACATTGTAAGTCCACAGATCGCCGTTGTATTTTGTAAATACGAAAATAGGAATCAAAAATTAATATTAAACGCGAGTTTGCCACACAATTTATGTCCACAGATTGCCGTGATATTGTGCCGAATATAATTAGTTTTGATTCTTATTTTCGTACTCACGAAAAATTGTCACAAGTCGGAATAGGAATTTATATTTTATCCCGCTCTTGGGAACTAATTTGTATAATGGTTGCCATTGGTTTGTATTTAAAAGTATGGACTTTTTACTAGGATGATTTTGTGCTGCGCAAAATATTCGAATCCATGACCGATACCACTACAAATACCTTACCGTGTTAATTTAATTCTATTATCATAACTCAAATGTTGGGAAATTGGGCAGTTTACCACACATTTGAAAGCCACAGATCGCCGTCGCATTTCAGAATTATTAGTTTTATTATTTTGTAAACACGAATCCGAAATTAGTTATAATTGGGCAGTTTACCACGTATTTCATGTCCACAAATACCCGTTGTATTTGGCATTAATACTTTCATTATTTTATCAATATGAAAATAGGAATCAGTATTTAATAATATCGGTCAGTTTACTACACATTTTATGTCCACAGATTGTCGATACAACCATGAGTTACGTTGAACAGAATTAAATTAATATGGCATGACATTTTAAATGCTGGTACCAGTCATGGATTGGATTATTTTGCGCAACAAAAAATCATCCCTGAAAGGATCGATACTTTTAACTATCGTTATCAGAATTATTTGCCTAAAATTATTTTCTAATAAATCGACTTGTTTTTCCAACTTGTGACAATTTATTGGATATCGTAACAATTACGGCTATAAATACCGTATTTCCCGGCTAAAGAGTCCACATGGCAAACAGGACGATGTCTATTTTTAGCACTCAAAAAAGGGGTTTTTCCATATAGGCCTCCAATAAGACGGGTAGAAAAATTCGCTAATAATTTTATATGTTTAGAACCAGATCATGTTAGTTTGGTAGAATCATACTCACAGAATTAACTATTTTTAAAAGCGGCAATCATTTTGGACAACCTATTAACCCGAATGTTGGAATGTGATAAGTACTACACTGTACGTCCACGGGTTATTTCACAGCTGTGTTTTCCTGTCCCTGTCGTGTTTTGCTGAATCGGCAAAACGAAAGGGTCACACAAATCACTTTATCTTGGTGGCCGTGTTTCTCTTTAAAGTAAGGATAACCAGCCTGCGATTAAATATCATGATTGGCAGACCCCAAGACCCAAATATAAGGTTACACAAATCATGCTTGAGAAGACTCATGCAAATAATAAGCAGGCCACATAGAAATAAAAGAAACATACTTTCTCAATTTTTCGACGTAATGGAAATGGATTTGTAAATTTAAAGCCTCTACACGAATGTCCGCAATGTCCACCCACGCAAACGTGCAAATGTGTCGCAACACTATGCGACGTACGGTCGCACAGAATATAAACAATCAAAGTGCCGATTTAAAAAGTCGTTTAAAGATTCCCGTAAAACGAAACACCATGTTTACGGCGAAAAGTGGCTACTATTCGGAATTATTCGAAAATCAGCCGAAAAGGTATTCGAATACCTTGATATTCGAATACATTCGAATATTCGATTCGTTTTGGACAACCCTGCATGCACACCCTGGGTGTATCAAATTAAGTAAGAAGTGCCGAATCGCACAGTCCAGTCCTTTCAAAAATAATAAATCATGGAATAGATATACATATTTATTCCGGGGAGAGGAAAGTCAATAAGATGGCTTAAACCCCTCACGAGTCAGGGCCTGCTTGTACAAGGCCGTGTTTAGAGCAAAACTTCCCCCCCCCCGTGTTATATATAAGATTTTGTAGTGTTCCCATTCCCAATATTCTAAGCAGTGTTCCCATTGGAGAGAATGCTTCATGCTCCACTCTTCAAATGCCAAAGTCCGTCGTTCAAGTAATGAATATTCTCGACTCCTATATTCTTGTTGATCTTGATTCTAGGAAAATTAGTAAATATAGTTTGTGAAACCGAATATTTGACTATTTCGAATACATTCTAAATAAATATTTTTGAATCTATAATTACAAATGCATTCTAAAATCCACTTAATTCTATTCGTTTTCTTAAAACCCAGTGACATAGGAATTAAGCTCAATAATATTATTAATGTAAAGCAGCTATGAATACTTATGACATATGCGACAAGATTGAAATTAGTGGATTACTTGTGGTGTATTTCGGCAAACACAGAAAATAGAGCTACTGTGCACGCAGTGAAATGTTTCGAATTCTACAGATAGATCTAAGTCCTTAACAACACACTTTCTCTAACATGGCTAATTTTTGTTGCAAGTCCGACTGTTTATCGTAGGCGTGAGTGTTACCTAGTCCAGGGGTTTTGCGATCCAGTGTGAAGGGTCGCGACCCTGTATTTGCGGACCCGTGATTTAGTCCATCGATATCGAACAAATAAAAATGGGCCCTTGAAGACATTTTATGTGTCAGGTTATGGTTAGGCCATAATTATATTCTGATTTTTCTTATTTCAGTTCTATTACGAAGTCGGGAACTTTCTGTGTTAGCGAAGTGAATATACACCCCCTGCCCATAGGTTTCCATTTATACAACTATCAACTAAAGGCAGTTTAAAAAACTAAATATATGATAGTTCCATCTAGGGCTGTCCAAAATCGAATAATTTTTTTTTTCGAATCGAACCGAATAATCGAATATTAATCCTAAATCTGTCTTTATTATACAATAAACGCCTGCCCTTCGATGTTGTTGTAACGTATGTGCAGTTACATCTCACTTACTGCTGGTATTTTGCAATACACTATTTTCAGATTTATGAAAGTACATCACAAGCTTGTATGAACCAACTTGCCTAATGTTAAACAAGGTCATGGACGCCATCTTGTGACATATTTGGGAAACGCGAAACAATAGAGTCTTATGGGAAATTTTCGTCGTGTTGTTGTACCGAATCGAATAAGTCAGCTGTTATAAGAGCTAGAATGAAGCCGAAGGGTGGATTTTGAAATTTAAGCTATATGCTACCTAAGTATATAATGCAATTAAGAATAGAAAACTATCTAATGCGTTAAATTTGACCACAAACACAACAAAGAACAATTTTTGTTCATTTTTTCGACGATTTTATAGTGATAGGCCAATTTGATGCTGTGAAATGTCTCCGCAACAATCCTACAATGTCATTTGTTATTCTAGCACAGCTCAGAGCTGAGCAGTAGGGCATTATGGAGCTTGACAGACGAAGAATGTTAACCAGAAAATAGGAACGGCTTATTGAAGCGAAGTTGTGTCAGCCGGTAATTTCGACTTTTCATCTGTGACATCATAAGAAAGGCCATTGTCAAATGGTCAATTATGACTATTGTAATAGCCAACTTACTTCGGAAGCATCTAGGAACCGGTATACTTGTCTTCAAAGACAATTCAATGTACTATAAATGTAATTTGGCAAAGATGGAAAGATATCAGCATGTTCGGCTAAGATTCTCGTTCAAAACGCGACCTTCAAATTTTTTTTACCTAAAATATCAGTAAAAATAATAGGCATGTTTCAATAATTGTGTGCGAACTTCTCATAAAATTGCCGAGAACAATAGGCACAAGATGGCGTCCATTGTCTGAGCGTTGCCTCGCTTGTATTGTACATAAGATTTGGTATGAACTGGTAAAAAAAAATGAAGAAATTTGGGTCTCAAAAACTGTTGAGTGTTAAGAGTAAAAATTGCACAATTCAAAAATTGCAATCTCAATTTTAATGAATAGCCTGTAGATGCTATTTTTACACTATTCACTAGTCTTATGTTTTTTTGTGTAATTTTCAGCAAAATAATAACAACCATCAATATAGATAAAACTGTTGCTTAAATTCAAAATTGCATTTAACAAATTCGAAGCTAGTTTGATGACAATATTATTTGATGACAATAATATTGTTAGTGTACAACCGCCATCAAAATTCAAGAGTGCAATTATTTGTCTTGGTAAATAGATGGATAATACAGTATTGCCATCATAAGAAATTACAAATTCCATTAAAAGAAGGTGTTGCCATCATAGGGATCCCAGAACACCTGTTTCAGCCTTGAGTTGCCTGTACCATGTTCCTATGATAACTAACTCAACAGCTTCAAATTGATTCTATTTATAGAACTATCCTTTTCTAAATTGCCTTTTTTCCTTGTTCTCTCTCAAAAACGTCACTACCGATAACTTTTAAGTTGAAATGAAGGTGAAAGGAATATCGGGAAACAAATTAAGCCGAGAGCGAGAGCGGTCTAAGCTCGCGCCGCCGCTTGCCGATGAAAAACGTCCTGCAAAGGTGGTTTCCGCTTTATGTGCCTAATCTTAAAAATTTGAAAATTACAGAAAAGCGATTCAAATAATTTGCGATTCGATTTCGATAATTGGTTCGCTTGGACAGCCCTAGTTTCATCCCATCAATACTTACATATCCTCTGTCGACATCTTCATTAAACCGATGGCAAGAGGATGTTCCTTTCCTTCTGCCATTACTGCCTGTATTGTATAGGTTGAGGAAAAAATTTCTTATTGATTCGTTAATAATTTAGAATTATTTCAGGCTTCGTATGGTATCAATCTCAGAAATATTACGGTGATGTGTTATTGAAAATTGTTGATGCTACCGAAAACAAATAACTAACCAATCCCATGCCTGACTTGGACGAGAGGCCGTGGTTCACCGTATGATTAGGCGGTTTTATCAGCTTTACTGTCCTCCTGGATAAATATGTATATCCTATAAGCAATATTGACAAAACAACAAATTCGTCTGACGAGTATTGTCTTAAAGGATACAACCACAGATTCTGCTTCAATTCCTGGAGATAGTTTTGCACCAGGAGATGTGAGACCAGGACACATTATATTGGCTCCACTGAGAACAAACTTTATGGCTCCTCTGTCTACTTGCTGATGTGGCAGAATAAATGGATCTGAAATGCATGGAAAAAATTCTGTCTGTCAGGTTTTTTTGTTCGGTGTTATTTTTGGATTGCAAAAGAAATTTATCAATACCATATACAGGGTGTCCAAAAAATTCCGCCCGATTTCATAGCAATACCAATTTCAAATTTGAATAAATTTGGTTTTATGATAAATGGGGACTGTAACATCCAATTAGAAACAGGTTGACTATAAATCTTTTTTAAAATTAAAAAAAAAAAATAATTTGATTGTAAAGACTTAATAATCGAGCGAAACTTTTTGGACACCCTGTATAGTGTGGATAGTAAGAAGTGACCTAGGGTTGAATAATAGTGTAGCTGTTAAATACAGAGGCTATACTATAATAATTAAACAGTAACACAGAGATGGGAAACATGTTCAAGAACTTACTGGCCTAAGACACAGATGTGCGATTAATAAATATAACTACAGTTTAAGACTGCTGCGTTATAGTAGGACAACAGATGAAATATACAAATAAAACTTGTGTGTGTTGTGGCGGAAACAGGGGCCACATGAACCCCGAATGATGAAAAAGGGCCATGTAGCCATCTCTCTAACACAGGTGTGGGCAAAGTTTTTGACCCGCGGGACATAGTTTGCCCATTTCCGCTTCGGGAGCATTAATCACACCCAGTACTTACATTTATGTAATAATCTCAGTACTGGAAACCATGGTCCATCTCTTTGCTTGAAGAACAGACATTTATCTTGAACTGTCAATATCTCAATATGTTCGTGGCATTTCATTATTTTTGCATTTTCTTTCTTCGGCCAGATGTCCTGGGTTGCAATAAAATAAAGAGATAGAAGTGCAACTTTGTTGTCAGATCAAAATGAGGCTGGTTACATAGATCGAAGATTTCTTTGGCCAGAAGTTTAGGTATTTTCCCGAAATTACGCCTATATCGAGAATAGGCCGACTCCCTAAAAACGGCCTCAAAACAACGATCTTTTAAAAAATCGCACATAAGCCGGTCCTACGAATCGTTACACGCCGGACGCCTGAAGAAAAACGTAGAAAGAGAACAAAATTACTGTAACGCAAACATTTCTCACGTTTATCGTTTCTGCATGATAGCGACGGGCCGTAGGTGGATTATTACCCATAACTCTCACTTGATAATTTATGTTAATAAAGTTTATATTGCTTTTCAATTTCCTTTGATCGCTACAACGGCGATTAATTTCGTTTCCTTGCCCGTTTCAAGGAAAGAAATAACGCTGTATTAACACATTCTTATAAATCACTACGAATCTTAACACGCCAGACGCCTTAAGAAAAGCGCAGAAAGAAAACAAAATTGCTGTAACACAAATATTTCTAACGTATTTCATTTCTGTTTGTTAGCGACGGCCGTAGATCCTTACTCGTAACTCTTACTTGTAAATTCATGTTGATAAAGTCTATATTGCTTTTCATACGTCGTGATTTGTATTAATGGAAGGGATTGTTGTCGGGAGTTTAAGAGAGTCCCTGAGTCAGCCCCTTAACAGATAACATATCCATATCGTAAAGGTGATTAAAGTCGTGCGCCGTTAATTGCCTCTGCAGCGAAAGTGCACCAAATAATAAAGTTTTCACCACGAAACAACTGGTCGTAAATCGACACTGTTGCCGTTATATAAAAGAAACACAAGCGAAAACAAACAATCACAGATTGTACAAGCCATCAGCTGTATGATAAGACAATCTACTTTCACAAGCGAGTGTGTGTGTGCGCGACGCTTTTTATTGTGAGAACTTTGTATGGTCTGAAGCTTTTGGAATTACCGGCAAGTCAGCATAATATCATCTCATTGCGTGATCCAATTCTGATACGTAAATGAGCCAATTTTTTGGTGCAATCTGAGTCATGCGCGTATTAGACGGTCCCTTAGTTTGGCAACTTTTTTTTTTGAGTTTTAAACTTGGCCTATACGTGATCATATACGGTACTCCCTTTGTGGAAATAAATCTCTCTCTCTCCCGAAGTAAGTGAAACAAGATGGTGGACACTGGAACGTGATAAGTGTACCAGGTTGGGGTTAGGCCATAATTTCAGGTACAAATACTACGGGAGTCACTTTGCTAGTTCCCGAACTCGTAATAAAATTAAAATAAGGAAAATTGCAATAAAATTATGGCCTAACCCTAACCTGGTACAAATACTACGTTCCGCCATCTTGGTTCACATAATTCGGGAGTGCCGAAGTTTATGATTTAATGATGTTAGTATAGTTTAAGATAAGAGTGCAATAGCAAACTTAATTGGCAGAGAAAGGATTTCAGGTAGGTTATTGGGAGAGAACCATTTACCAGCAGACCTCAAAGACAGAATTATTAATTTTGACTTTTTTTTTAAATTTGAGAGCGCCCATGGCAAAGTTGAAAAACGCTGACAATGAAACTGACAATGTTTAATACCTGCATATATTCCTCTAGTAACGGCATCTGTCTGATGATATCAGCTCGAATCTGACGTTGAACTGAACTTTTCAGTTGACTTGTTGACGACACATTCTCTTTCTCTTCAAACCTGGGAACAAAAAATTATATTTTTATCAACATTTAAACACCTTTACTTCAAACAAGGTTCCGTGCAAGTAGGTCCGTGTCATACATAGCAAGTTTTTGTAGCTTGAAAAGGTCGGATTCCAAAATCAGACTTTGAGGAAGCAAATACTTCAGTTTGGACTCCAATATCAACAAAAAAGAACTTACTTTCGAAACATCGTGATAAATTCTGACTTTAAATCTCTGTCAGTGAGTACTCAAATGTATCGGGATACAATTCCGCAGAAAAACTTCTAGAGAGACTTCTTCTTCAATGTTTAATTTCCAGATTTAAGAATATACTTTTTATAATTACTTATACTAAATATCTAAACATACAAAACATAAATTACATGAAGCAAACACTCATAAAACAGTAGTACTAGACAAGTTGAAATGTATGCAAAGTTGGGGGCTAAAAAGGGAGGATGCAATTGGGAAGAAGCCCCAGGTGAACAGGGGACATGGAGAATCAAAGAAAATGTTGGGAATTCTCTGATTTTTTAGGGCATGGAAAAGAGGAAGGAAATTGTTGGGGAACATCCAGATTTCTTATAACAATGTGATGTGACTGAACTGCCCTTATATTCAGAGATTTTGGTTCATAAGATAATTAAGTTGTTACTAAATCTCGGAGTTGGCTAACTTGTGCGGGCTAGAAGCGTTGGGAGCACCAGTGACACGCTAGAAACTATATATTTATCATGGTACCAGAGAAGCGATTATACTTGGATTATAATGAACAGCAAAATCTCACACCATGCTAAAAATCTAAAAATGAAAAGGTAAATTGGTGGGCTAAAAACGGGATTTATAGTTATGGGGAATCCCCGGATTTACAAGGGCTACGGAAAATGTGAAAATTTGGTGCAACATTCTGTAGACGGTTGGAAATCTACTCCTTGAATGATGAAGAGTCAGGAACAATCTTTGATGAGCTATGAGCTCTATTCTATCATCATTCTAGCTGACACGCCATTCATATAGCGCTTCAAAAAACAACAAAATCTCACATCATGCTTGAAATAAAAATGCAACAATTCCATTACTATAAGCATAGTAGAAAGATATGTCAAAAGGAATAGACAATGCCAAAGCAAGAAATTTTCACAAAATGAAATGAACACTGAGGAAAGGAGAAATTCCTGCAATTAAAATTTGGATTAGAATAATTCCAAGCTATTATTTGAACAGTGTCTTTAGTGGAAAAAATACATCGTTTGAATATTCAAAATGAATAATTATTTAACCAAGAGTATGGTGTATAAGTTTGTTGAAAAGGGAGGGGAGATTCCCCACATTGATTCTGTGTACAGTGTCTCTAGTGGAAACCAAACACAATGTTCAGTGCAGCTAAGAATATAATTTAAATTGAATGCTCATATAACGAGGTACAAGTTTTTTACAGAGGGAGGGGAATTTCCCTATTCAAAGTCAGAATCATCGCTGTCATCATCTCCTCCCCGAATTGTTTTCTTCTGTTTTCCGAGAAACGTTATCGGCTTTTTTGACCCAGTTTTTGTCGAATCGGGGGGGTTCATGAGGTCCCCAGAATAGTTGATGACTTGTCCGCATCCGAGTCGCCATTCTAACATTTCTGTCGAGAAATCGTCGCAGTTTCCGAGATCGGTGAAGCCGACAATGTAGTCCTGGAAGAAATTTAAAAACAGTTTCATTAGTTGCTGTTAAATGCTGAACAGCGTGTCAATAATGACCCCAAACCTGCGTCTGGGGTGAAAAAACAGAACCTGGGCCATTTTGGACATATTCTACAACAACGGTTCTAAAATCGGGCAATATCGCCCCTGGGCCGAAAGACAGTGATTATGACAGTTGCCGAAATCAGTGAAGCCAATAACACATTCCCGGAAAACAGTAGTATTTTGCCATGAGACACTTTGTTAAAATTTTTGCTCAGAATGTCTACCCATGCAAATTGCTGAAATGTGGAAGCCCACCCAAGTGGACAATGTAACATTTAGGATTTTTTACAGGTTCTGAACGATGTTCTCTCTACGCAAGACTCGGAGGGGTCACTATTCCAGAAAATAATGGAATCTTGTCAGTCATCACTTAATTTATTGCAACAGGACAGGAGCTAATTAAAACCGTATTATTGACTTGATTTATTAAATTTTATTAGCGACTAGGGACCCCCATCCCATACCCCCCTCCAAAAATGGCAAATCCTAGTCTCACAACAGTAAGTTGCCAGTGAGGGCGCTTCAGAAGTATGTGTACCAATATGGAGGTAACTAATTTTGTTCGCCTACTTCACATCAAGTTGTGTAAACGGACTGAAACCTATGGGCAGGGGGTATATTCACTTATTATAATAAAACCATAATAAGGGAAAATCGGAATAAAATTATGACCTAACGCTAACCTGGTGAAAATACCACAGAATTACTCTAACTCAGATAAATATTCCAAACACAAACCTTAGTTTTTCCATCAATAACCAGTGCTAACGTTGGAATAACTTTTATTCTGAGTCGTTGCGTCAGGAACGGAGCTTTCTCAACGTCCAGTTTGATAAACTTTGTCTCAAGATGTTTCCTTGAAAGAGTTTCAAGATGGCTGTCTAGGATTTTACATCTGAACAAATAAATGGAAGTCAGTATAAAGCAGTGGTTACCAACCATATATGGCCTGTGGCCCCCTACTGGAGGCTTTTAGCACTCATTTTAAGTCCCCAGATGACCGTTCTATGTTTGAGTAATAATACTTTTATTATTTTATAAATACGAAAATAGGAATCAAAAACTAATTATAATAGGGTAGTTTACCACACATTCTAAGTCAACAGATCGCCGTTGTGTTTTGTAAATACGAAAATAGGAATCAAAAATTAATATCAATCGCGAATTTGCCACACAATTTATGTCCACAGAATGCCATGATATTGTGCCTGAATATAATTAATTTTTGATTCTTATTTTCGGACTCACGAAAAAAATGTCACAAGTGGAAAAATTATTTATCATTTATCCCGCTTTTTTGGAAATAATTTGGATAATGGTTAGTATTTAAAAGTATAGACTTTTTACTAGGATGATTTTGTGCTGCGCAAAATATTCGAATCCATGACCGATACCACTATTCAAAATGCCTTACCGTGTTGATTTAATTCTATTATCATAACTCAAATGTTGGTTAATCGGGCAGTTTACCACAGATTTTGTGTCCACAAATTCTCATAGTATGTTAGAGTATTTATACTTTTATTATTTAGTAAATACGAATCCAAAATTAATAATATCGGGCATTGGATGTCGTAACAATTACGGCTATTAATAATTGTCAATTTTTCGACGTAATGGAAATGAATGTGTAAATTAAAAGCCTCGTAGACGAATGTTGGCAATTTCAACTCACGCAAACGTGCAAATGTGTGGCAACACTATGCGATGCACAGAATATAAACAATCACAGTGCTGATTCTATTCCATCGTCATTACAATACGAGAGAAAGCGTAAGAAGTCGTTTGAAGATTCCGGTAAAACGAAACACGGTGTTCACAGCAAAAAGTGACGTTCGGAATTATTCGAAAATCAGCCGAAAAGGTATTCGAATACTTTAATGTTCGAATACATTCGAAAATTCGATTTGTTTTGGACAACCCTGATCATATATCTATCCATCACTATTTTCTACCCCATTTTTTATATGAAAGTCTATCAGCCGTCTTCAGAAAAGGCTATTTAATTGGAATTGGAATTTGGAACCATACCTTTACTTACTTCTAACACCGGGTTCTCAAAGTTGATTGAATGGAGGGCCAAAATTAGAAGTGGAAGGATATTTACGGACCAGGAGAGAAGGAAGTGCCCGCAATTCCGAAAGGGGCCGATACGGGTATGATTACCTAAAATATCGATATAATTGAATTGTGGCGAATATGCACATGCTTTAACTGTGATAATGACGTAACAATTGGCGATAACTCGAACACAAAAAAGTACAAACATAAAGTGTCAAATTGTCTCACGCAAGATCGGCGGGCTATATTGGATCATTACGGGCTGTGGTTGGAGAACCACTGCTCTCACCTGATAGTTAAATGACAGCCTATTAGCAATCTACAGAGGAGGCCACTCAAATGTGGATCGGGCCATAGGATGTTGACTTACCTGAATGTTGTATTCTTATAGAAATGACAGACAACCAATTTATTTTCTTTGCATTCATCGAAGAAATCTTTCTCAGAAGGAATTTCACCCAGGACACCATGACCCTTCGCCATCCATTCCTGACAAAAATAAAACATTTCATTACTTATCGATTTTGATCAGTAAGTATGTTGATAGGTATTTGTTTGTTTGTCTGTTAGACACTTTCGTATCTTACGCGATATCTCACGAAAGAGAGGTTGAATCTGCTCCAAATGTGCATTTGTCATATCTTTGCATGTGCATTCATCATATCTCGGACCAGAAGCCTATTGATTTTGGATGAATTATGCCGTATAATTATCGAGTTATTATTTAATTAGTGATGTGACACACGGTGCCGCTGTGGAGTAAGAGCGGATGATTCGAAACCACAGTTTCTGTTTTGGGGGATCCCCTAACTTTCGATCGATGTCTCTGACCGATATTCTTGTTTCTGTGTCAGGGAGTTATTTGTAGTCATGGTTTCAACCGGCAGAGTTAATAAGCGTTCGATTTTTAACCATGGCTGGAGAAGTTTTCAAGTATGCAAACTACCATGAAATATCTGCCTTAATGCAGCTTAGTAGATTATCAAAATTAAAGTTTCAAATATAAAATTCAACTTGAAACTTTTAAATTATTATTATGAATTAAAATTTTTGAAAATTTATGAGCTGAAAAGAATAGATATAATCATTTTAAAAATGATTAGATGGTTCGGGGCTGGAGCCACTAAAATGGTAAGCTAAGCTCAGCTACACCAAAATGTGACAGCTCCATGGTTACAGACTCCGAGCTCAGATTTCCCAATACTGCTCTTAACAGTGTTAATCGAAGTCCAAAATACTTTATACCAGTGTTCACTCGAAGGAAATTATGAGAGCAAAGGTGCTCAGCGGTTGAAAAACTTCTCTTTAGAAACAAAAATATGGCGATTTCACAGTCTCTAAAAAACTGCGAAAGTGAAAAAGTGCGCTTATAGTGAACACTGCTCTACACAGAAATTGAAAAATTCAAGTTAACCGAGTGCTATTACTAGTCTTAACAATATTTTTTGAGCTTTATTAAGCGGCACGGTTTGACAGAGTGGAAAACATGGATAAACAAAGAAATAAATCCTTTATTTTTAAAAAAGTAGCAAGAAAAAAAATGAATAATAAATATAATAAATTTAGCACAATTGTTTCATTATTACAACCTAAATCCTTTTTTTTCAAAAACAAAAAATAAGGAGTCTCACTTGTCTCTGTGCCTGTGATTTCTTCATTGCCTGCATTCTCCTCTCTCTCAATTTCTCCAGATCATCGTCGTCCATTTTATCGAGACGATTAATCTCGGCATCGAGCTGCTCTTCGACAGCTTTTGCAGCTTGTAATACTTGATTTTCGATTATTCCTTCCATTTTGTTAGAAAATTCGACTCAAAAAGGTTTAATTAGCGTAAAATGTTTCTATAACATACAAAACAAACATTTTAATAAAACTCTAACATCTCTAAGACAAAAATAATTGCTTATTCAAGAAGTACCAAAAATGTTTACATTAAATACTTCATTATATTAGAATTTTGGCACCAAAATGTCAAATTTAAAAGTTACAAAACACAGCAAATTGAATTCTAGAAACTATTACAGAATAAATTAGTATTAATTCTAGAATATACAGTAAATTAGGAAAAATTACGGAAACTGAATTGAAGTTGAAAAGTTAAAATAAGATTGAATATGTTTTTATAATTTAAAAAATAAATGTTTTAATAAAACTCTAAACTTGAAACAAAAAATAAAATGTAGGAAGTACCATACATTTCAGATTTAAATTAAAATCCATGCCAGAATAATAAGTAAAATAATGGATATTTATAGGAAAATATATTCTAAAGTATCTGATATATTTGTTTGTATGAAACATAAACCAATATCTGTTTTTGTCAAAACCAAAACCAAGTCAAATCAAGCTGACTAGCAATGTTGCTAATAATGTTCCTTAAATTAAATAATACTAAAAATTTTTGATACTAAATTTGACAAAGTAAATGATATCTAAAAAGTACAGTCACAATTTTTAAAAATACATTCAGCACATTGAATGATCACAGGAATACTGTTCTGCTTTGTATTTCAAAACTGACTAAACAAAGTTGGTTTATGTTAAAAGAATTAGATATTTTGCTAAAATATTTCAAAATTTCCACCAATCTGAAACTAATACAGTGAAATTAAATAAAAAAACATGAACCAACAAAACAGTGGGATTTTAAACAGTGGAACAAAATAACAAAACAGGAAATATATATTCTGTATAGATAAGTCATTTCAAATCGTATAGTAAACTGTTCAAATCGATTCAGAAGAAAATTTCAGATAGCCGCCATCTTGTTTTTATTGTTCGCCAAAGGTCAGGGTAAATTAGCCTAAGGTGTTAAGCTATTCCACTCAAGTTGGACAGGCGATAATTGACCCGCCATGGTTTGGGAACCACTGCACTAGAACATACACAACAGTCAAACATGGGTAGGCAATGCTGAAACAGAAAGATTCCAATCCTTCTAAAACTTTTAGTACATTATGATAAATTCATTATGCGTTTTTTGGTCTCTATTTTTTGTAAAGTTTTAACTTTACTCTAAACGCGATTTATAAATTTCTTTCGTGCATTAGCGAATAAATATGTGATCCGGCCCACCGAGGACTTCATTTTGCCACATTCGGCCCTCCAATTAGAGAAGTTCCCCACCCCTGTTCTAAACTATAGTATCCACTTGCGTATCAATAGCCAATTATACAGAGCCTAGTTTTAAGTAGACAAATATGAAGAGGCCCTATAAAAGAAGTCAGTATTGAAGATTGGATATTAGAAGATATTAGAAATGCTGGGAGAAAGTACAATGAGTAAGCCTGCCGACAATCACTATAGTATATAGCAGAGAGGGGTGTGCAACACTTTTTGTCAGTAGGTCATTTAACCAAGTACAGAAATTTAGTTTTTCCATGAACACAACAGATTGAAAATTCTCACAATGGAAAGTCTATCACTTACAGTAGTAAAGGCACCGGGCAATACGGCAAAAGATTAACACAGCGACAAGAGCAAAAAATAACACTATATATTTATTTCTATGTGAGCGCCTTTTCAAACCTAACTTTCATATTGGGATTTTATGCTTAATGAGGAAAATACTGAGTAATGACAAGGGCCACAGCAAAAGGCTTGGCAGGTTCAGTTGTGGCCCACAAGCCGCCACACGCCATTGGTATTTACACATAGTTTTGGGCATTTCTTATGCACTATGAATATCTGAGACGTAGAAAAGCAAATCTATTCTGTCCAGGAAGAAATTGGCACAATCGGGCAGTCAAATCATGTTATGGAATGTTTATTCTCCCCCTTCTGCTTCTTCCTGTTCGTCCAACGCTTTTTCTAACAGTTCAGTTCGGTGCTTATCTATGACTTCCATCTCTCTGATAAGCTGGGATATCTGGGTATTGATAACAGATCTGTGCTGCTTTCCTTGTCCGAGTTTTTCCATTTCGTTTAAAAATTGACGACGTTCGACAATTTCTTCCTGAATTTCCTCAAAGCGATCTTTCTGGGGGGGAGGTTCGATTTTTCGTACAATTTTCCTTTTCGGAATTTTTTCAATGTCTTCCCCGTATGCCATCATATTTGCAAGTCTTTGCTTTTCTTTGTCGAGCGATCGAATCGGCTTTGGAACAAACTGTGGGCGCTCGTACGCACCTGTTTGCTCGATTTTATCTAAAGTTCGCATGTTACTTGATACAGTAATTCGATGAGGCTTCATTTTTGGGGGTGATCGCTTTTTCACGTCGCTCGAAGTTGGTGCGACACGGGTAGGAAGACTTTTACCCCCTTTCATTGACTCGCTTAATTGTCGTCGCTGAAAGTTAGTCAACCGTGACTCTTCCATCATGACTTTTAACAGATCTTGAGTCTCTTTGCTGTACGCAGGTCGTTCCGCTTGGCCAAACAGCCCGCCTTTCGCTACAGGCCAGCTGTTAGATGCCATTTTGTTTTCAAAATTGTTCAGACAGACAATAGTAATGCCTAAACTAAATTAAATCTAAATCAAACAAAAAAATGTTAAAATCAATGAACACCACTGTGCGATGAAAGTCGGATATGTTCATATTAAAGTTCAGGCCGGAATCTTATTTCCAGGGGTCAGAATTTCTGACCACTAACAGTGGTGGCAATAGAGAGCATTGGGCAGACTTGAGATTCTTAACAGGGGATTAAAGAGGGCCAAAGTTTTAAGTTTCTGCATGTTGTATTTTGGAAATGGAGTCCGAGTCGAATTTTTAGGTTTCCTGGGTAAGAATTTCTTCCGGTGTTTAAAACCAAAATTTGGGACTTACCATATAGAGAAGTCATGAGTTTTACTCCTAGTTTGAGAAAATAAAAGCAATCATAAAAATATCCGAAATGGACAGAGGACAAAGCACACATCACGCCAATCACAAGTGTACTGAATGAAAAAATAATGATACAATATCTCTATAGGCTACTATGTTATTTCACAATGATTTTAAAAATTCGAAGCAGTATTGTGGGTTGGTTCAATTGCTTCGAGTCGTCGTTTTTTAACTCCTGGCATAGTGAAACACACACTATTTTTTTGTATACAAGTCTGCTCAAAGCAAGATTTCATGCCAACAAACTATAAGAGAAAACAGTACTAATAAAATAATTGGAAGCTTCCCGATACTGCAACAGCTTTACATAGGATTATTTTGACAAAGATGTCAGATATTATATTTAATCTACATTATCAGCAATAAACCCCCGAAAACCCGACCCAAACCCTGAAAAAAACTTTTGTACTAAGAGTTCCACTAATATAATAAAAAGACTTGGGAAGACCGTGGGCCAAATCCAGTCTGTTGGGCAAACTAATCTGGCCCGCCTGGGAGTTTGTTGAGATTGTGATCAAATTTAGTTTTGGTGCAAGACTTACAGTTTCCGCTTTTGCTATTGTAACACTGTAAATATCGTTCCTAACATGTAACTTTTTATGTCACACTCACATGGCCCTTCAGTCTAGGTGGGCATAATTTTTGGCCCCTGGTTCAAAAACTTTGACCGCCCCTGGTCTATATTATTCTGGAAAAAATTCAAAAATCCAGATCATCATCCGGATCTTCTTCATCAAAGTCATCGGCATCATCAGGTTCATAATAAATAAAACCAGATGCTGGCACTCCTCTTGTTGTTTCTGAAGATGGTGCGGGCTCTCCTCTTCTTGATTCTGAAGATGGTGCGGGCACTCCTTTTTTTGATTCTGAAGATATGGCTGGCTCACCTCTTGTTTTTGACCTATCATCCATTTTTACTTCAAGGTGTGTTGATTTCTTGATATATGGCATCACAAGTTTACTTCTTGCTTCCTTTTCGTCTTTGCTCAAAGATAAATTAAAAGTTGATGAAACTATATTATCATCCTCCTTTAAAATGGGACTTTCCCCTCCCTGTGAAAGATCCACATCTTTGATACGCTTCTCCGCTACCCAAGGTTTAGAGCTGATTAGTAGTCCATTTGCTATCGAGAATATTTCAATGAATTCAGCTACTTTGCCATGTTTCTTTTTGTGTAAAATTTTGCACAAATTTGATGATTTTGGAACACTGGTTTTGTCGTTTGTAGAGATGCTAGAAATTTCTTTTTCTGTGACCAGGTCAACAATATTATTCGCTAAATATTCAAAACAGTTTATCGTAGCAGAGTCGCACAAATCGCGATGTAAAAGTCCAAAAATCGTAGTTTTTCCACCATCTTTTGAAAAATTTTGTTGAAAATGTTGAAACATAAAAGTAATTTGTTGAATATTGCAATGCCATAGGAGATTCGTAAAGGAGTCAATAACAAGAGCAACATTTTTCGACCCCGGGGAATCCCCTATTGTTTTCACAAAATCAAAATTGGGGGTGACTTTACTGGGGCTATTGGGGTCGTTCCATCCCAATGGGTCACTCGCAAAGTCATGAATAATGATTTTATCTCTCGTTCCAGTGAAAACTTGGTCGACAAACTCAAATTGCAACTTTTCAAATAAAAATACATGAATTACATCATATTTTTTGGCAAAATTATTCATGAAAACATAAAATAAATCCCGACCTTGAACAGATACTTGATCAGTTAGCAATGTAAAGTCCGAAGACTCATGGCCTGATATGATTTCTGATAGCATGATTAGAATAAAAAAAAATAAAATAAAAAACGAGATGATCAGGCAAAGTGAAGAATAAATAATCCAGTTACAACTTTAAACTTTTATTTAAATTTGTACCAAATTATTTGAGTGATTTCATGAAGCAACTTACGATGATAAAATTGGCAGCGAATATTAGGGTATGATTACTTCTGGTTTAAATAATTTTGGTTTCAAATTTGCGATTAAAAATATAACAGTAAAATGGCATGTAATAATTGAATACGGTCACTTTAAAATGAAATATTAATATGAAGTATAAAGCGGGCAAAGAAATTCGAGAATTTCCTTATCACACACCAAATCTGGCAACTAAAGTTTTATGAATTCCTAGATCCTTCTGGTTCGTTCGTGTCTTCTGCGCTTTCTTGTAAAAATTCTTTAATCCGATCCGTTAAAGTCGACGCTTGTTGGTCTAACGTGTCGACGCACTCTTCTAGACGATTCAAAATTGAGTTCAAATTTTCTATTTCTTCTTCTGCAGCTGTATCGTTGCCGTTAGTTACAATGGTTTCGTTCGGTGCCAACTTATTGTCCCCGATGTTCTTTCCGTCACCGTCAGCTGCCATCGGCAAAAAATGAAACGTCAGACTTCGGAAACAAATTTCAATCTTTTAAATTATTTTTAAGGCTTTTCAATGGGAGATTATCATGCTATTATTTCTGATTATTAAAAAAATCAAAAACAGAATAATTAGGATTATACAGTGATGCATTAGATTAACACGTAAAAATATATTAGAAATAGTAAAAATTATCACTGTTTAAAGAATTGATGGCATAGGATTGAAGAATACAGAGGAGATGGGGCTATGCCAACTTTAGCACAGTTTGAGCTGGCGTAGTGGTTAGGGTGTCAGACTATGATGACATGTGAAAGATCTTGGGTCAAATTGCCAAGAATTACTAAGGTTGTAAAAAATCGTGTAGGCCAGCGGTTTCTGAAGAGGGTTATTTGCTAAGTCGGCACCGAAAATTTAACTCAAGTCAAGTCGGCAAGTTTATTTTTTCCAGTCAGTAAATAAATAAAAAATAAATGAATACGGAATATATAAAAAAATTAAAATTACACAGTTTTGCTGGGGAAGGGAAGTCGCGAGGAACCAAAGCTGGTTATCGAGTAGCGACACCCTGCTTAACCAAGTTCCAGAGTATAAGTATAAGTTTATTTCGACTCCATAATCAGCAATAGCCGATAAAATAATAGATAAAAACAAAAGTAACTGATTATAGAATCGGGGAAGCGAACAAAACCTCGAGTAAGGTTTGAAACGTACAGATTTTAGATGGAAAGGTATTGATAAAAGAAGTAGTACGTGTTCGCTCACCCAAAAGTAAAAAAAAAAAACTAATTAAGGCACGCACGCACACACACACACACACACACACACACAATCATCGAGACATGATACTGCTGTACTGTCGGAAGTTTAGCAAACATGAGTGATTTTTTCAGTATTAGTGAAACCTTGCTTCACTTGACTATAAAAGTTATTGAAATCTGACAGTGGAGATGAATCAAACAGTTACACAATTTAACAATCAAGAAAATTCGCTGCCATTAAAAGTTCCAACGCAATTTCAGGGGCAATCGGGAACTCCGGCATTTCCATTGAAGTATTGCTGAAACGATATTTATAAGCAAAGTATTGACAAACTTTCGCTAAGACGTGAGAAGGAATTTCTTTAAAACAAATCTCATTCGTCTCGTTCTCGGCGAATCTACCGGGCCCGCTCAGCATGGCTTTGATCGTCCCCGACGTCATCGCGTAGTCTCGGTTCACAATAAATTTGTGTCCATCAGATGAAACGATTCGAATATACGCAGAGTCTGGGCCTTCACAGCCTCCAAATAAATTTCCCTTGTCATCTTTTTCATCCCCCATATCTCAAAATAGTCCACAAAATCCAAAAATATGTCGAAAAACGTTAATTCAAACTGAGAAAAACCAAATTTCAAGATTTTGGCAACCGTCAAAAAATTTATCATGGTTACGACGGGGGTTCCCCAGAGATTTGACTCATGACACGCGGTAAATATATCTTCCACGTGATTTTCCATTTCAACTGTATACATTTCCATATCCGAGGATTTTCATAACTATTTAAATAATGAAGTAATGAGCATACTTAACCGCATGGAGCACCGCGGCCTTACATCCGGTTACCAGTCTATGTCCAATGTGGGATTAGTCAACTAACTCAGCGGTTCCCACACTTTTTGTTCGTGCCGCGCCAAATTATCAGGGAAATAAAGCACCGCGCGCTCAAACCGTAAATATATACTACTACGCTTAAACGAAAAAAAAAACTGCAGTTTGCGGAATTGATACGTAGCAATAGAGACAGATCCTACGTAAGGGAAGGCAAATGGCATGAAAAGGTAAAATGAATTTATCGATTTATATTCACAGCATTTAGAATAAGCAACAATTAAGGAGGAGTTCAGCATTCCTTTCGCGCATAATTAATCCTTCGACTGTTAGACTATCTGTCCAGCCGAAGCAAACAGCAGGCGGGGAAAAACAGAGGTCATCTTGATTAGATGAACGAGGAGGTAACGATGAACCAATCGCCGAGACCAGACATCTGTTAAACTATCTCCCCAAACCAGAACAAGCGGGGAACAACAGGCCGGATTAGACAGTAGAAAATAAAATCAGTCGGTCAAAAAATCAGCAAGTACAACAGAATGGGAAGAGATAGGAGAAATAACAAAAAGCGGTCCTGATAAGGCAGAAAAAAAACGATGATACGATGATGATGGCGGTATGAAAAATGCGTGGGGGATACACAGACATACCAAGTAGCGAAGTAGGGGCACAGAGGAAAGAATAACCGGGACCAGTGTTCCCTTTAAGGTGTGCGCGTGTGCGCGCGCACACAGCTTTCAGAGGCCGCGCACACGCATAGATTTACTGCGCACAGACGTATTTCGATGTAATCTATCAATGTTCTCGGTTGGCAGGTTGAAAAAGTTTGTTATTGGATTTGCTAAAAGGATGCATTTCTTTGAAAGTTAAGATGGCATCATGTGCGAAGAAGGTACCAGCAGTAACTGTAGGCCATGATCATAAGCATTGACCGCTGTTATAGTAACTTAACTGGCAACGATATCATGGGGTCATTGAACCTTGACCATTTTGGCATTGGCGGGATCTCTTTCGGCGTGAGTCGCTTGGAGGTAGGACGTATAAATTTGTATCCTATTCAATCGGAGGGGTTTTAGCATTATTAATTAGGCGTCGTTGAAATTTACATCATATAATTCTGTTTTTCCTATTTTGTATAGTTATTATTGGTCCCTCCTGTGTAATAGCACTGTATTTTACCGGATTTTTGTTTGACAACCATTTCATCATTATTTGACTCATATTTCACCAACTTTTAACTCAGCAATAAACGTATTTGGACAATCATTTCGAGACTTTGAAAGAAACTCAGACAGAACCGCGTCATCAAAAATAAAGTGCCTGTACAACTATTTATTCCAGTCGCCCTAACGAGCACGTCGCCATCGTATGGTTCTGAGCCGTTATAGTAACATAATCAATAGCTGCCATAACCTAGCTGCTGTATCTATTGCATGTTTGTCCACTTATGCTGTAGTTGAAATAAGCTTAAGATAGCCTACTAACAGAACTGCTACTACTAATTGTATTGTAAGTATAAGCAACAATTAAGGAGGAGTTCAGCATTCCTTTCGCGCATAATTAATCCTTCGACTGTTAGACTATCTGTCCAGCCGAAGCAAACAGCAGGCGGGGAAAAACAGAGGTCATCTTGATTAGATGAACGAGGAGGTAACGATGAACCAATCGCCGAGACCAGACATCTGTTAAACTATCTCCCCAAACCTTAAGATAGCCTACTAACAGAACTGCTACTACTAAGATAGCCTACTAACAGAACTGCTACTACTAATTGTATTGTAAGTAGCCTGAGGTTGTAGGCTACATTGTAATCCGTTAATTTGTCCGTTACTCATTGAGCCATTTTTCAACCAGGTTAGTTTTATTAGGCTGTTAGTTACCGTGAACCCTGCAACAGAATAGGCTAGAAAAAACCAGCTTACGTTTGAAAGAGGCTATGTAAACAGTTCTGAGCCTCGCTTATGCTTTTTGGGAACTGATGCGATTGTGCTGTACTCTGCACATTGCATTACTTTAAGCAAAATGTCAACTTTGATTAAAAAAACCTGTGAGATGTTTTTCTATTCATTCAATTGAATACTTAGATCAACGAAGCCAATAAAAAACTGTCATATCTGAATCATTTTCACAGAATATTACTTTTTGTTTCATGGCTCAACATACTGATAAAGTATTATCCTGTAGCTGTAAAGACTAACTTTTCTGCTCTGTATGTCAGCCCAATGACATTAAACAACATGATAGGCAACTCTGACGTCACTCCATAAGACTACAGGCAAAACATTGTATTTCATGATACGCTCCAATGCACATATTTCTCGTCGCCTTTCGCGTCCGTTATCCGCTCGCTTTTGCTACTCGGCGTCTTTTTTACGTGTAGTACCTGTCTTTATGCGCCTGTAACGAAATAAAATAATCTCTATATCTAAGAAGTTTTGCTTACTTGGAAAGCTGGAATAACAGGCAAGCTGTAAAGAGCAATTCTGGACATCATAGACGTTTTTTTTATCAGAGAAGATTACAAACGCGATAGCGGAAAGATTTGTGTGGAACATTTTGCAGATAATGACAAAGTTCAAAGTTAGTAATTTTAATGTTTGCGCTTAATCATTGAAATTTCATTTAAAGAGGGTGTCATACAAAACTGTGCTGCGATACAATTCCATAACACAAAGTTTGCACCTATCGAACTTGCTTTTGTAGGTGAATTTATTAGACATATTACATATTCAGTTAATCGTAGGTAACATTGCTGGTACATAATGCATCATAGAGGTTTGTTTAAATTTAGGAATTTAGTTCATAGCCCACTAATTAATATTATCTTCTATGCAGGAGGTTGCAGGGCTGAATTCAACTTGCAGCCTTACCGATCACCTGACGATGCTCATTTAGTTTGGCTCGAGCAAGTCTCCTTGAAATGCTTGTGTGGATGGAAACTACCTATATTTTTTGCCTTCCTCCGATTTTAGACAAATTTATTCTGAGGAATTTCGCATATAATTCTCACTGATTGTTGGCTGTTTATAATTCCTATTGATTGTGAATTCTGATTATAACAATGAGTTGAAAATTTTTTTACCTAATTTACTGGCACCTTTTTCTTGTCAATATTCCAAGCTGAGGTAATAAACATGACAATACATTTATGTCATCTGGAAGCAAAATATGCACACTAATTAATAGTTTGGCACATTGAGATAATACATCATGACAGAAAATACAAGTTAAAGATATGTATGACCATCACATGGTAATTAAAATTAAAAAAAATGTTCATAGCTCATGAACTCTCAATTTTGCCTCCATTGCTTTGTGAAGGCCAATATATTTCGAGTGGCTGAATTGGTTTACCTTTATGATAGCAACGATTTTGTATTTAATATAGCGAGATGTTTTCAATTTAATTGAAGTGATATAATCTCCCAAAGCAATGCTTGAATCGTCTAGAATAGATCAGTGGTGTCAAACTCATGGGTTTTCGAGAGCCGCATTGCATTTTGAAAATTGTAAGAGCCGCAAACAGTTTTTGATAATGTATACTTAAAAGATATTTTTAAGATAGTTTTAGTTTGTGACATATATTGTGATGCAACTAAACAGTTGGATTAAGTTTTATTATTTTCTTCAATTTCAAATGCAATTACATATTAATATTTGCATTCCACTATTATTGCAACATTTGCAAGTTACAGTATTTATTATAAAAAATCGTAAAATTCTATGTACAACCATCAAAATCATTTTTGAACAAGCTTTGAATAAGGAAAGAATAATACATACACTAAAAATAACTTAATCTAAATATATGAACCTAAAATTAACAAAAATACTACAGTATAAACTCAATGTTTTAATAATTACATTTGTCCTGGCGTTTGGCATCTTTTTTGTGTCGCCAGCATACTAAGGCCAATCTGAAATGATTTTATAGTACCAACTCTAACTAACGAGGCCACATGATCATGGGTTTATCTGGATCTTTACGAATGTTTAATTAATTCCAGTAATGCAAAAAAGTTACTTTTATCATTTCATGTATAGATCAGTGAAAAAACAAATGACAGATTTTTTCGACAAGACATTTCGCACTACATTGCGTGGCATAGGATTGCTTGAATTATTATTGATATTGATTTTTAGTAACTAAGTCGTTGTATAATTATATTAATATACAAACACATGGAAATTTTCTGTTCGAAGTTGGTCTTCGAATTTGTCATATTGACTGCTGAGCTCATTGTGTTTTTTGATTGTATTGATGGAAATATGACAAATTAAACAATGTGCTTCAGAATTTTGTGAAGAGCAGAAATGTTACAACTCCCATTTTCTTCAAAAATGCCACCTTCTTCATGTACTTTGCGTTTAATTTAATTACTCAAGTGTTTTATTCAAGTATTCTTTTGCTAGCTTGATGTGTATTCTTGATTGGGTCAAAATGTGGAAAAAAAATCAATATTCCAAAACTACTTTCAGTAAATTGTTTTCTGTGTGAATAATCAATTTCACTTTAGAAGGTTTGAAAAATCTATTACATTTAGATAAAAAAAAAAACTTCCAAAATACTATTACAATTATTGTTAATCGAGGGCCGCACTGGAAGTTCTCTGGGGCCGCGAGTTTGAGATCCCTGGTCTAGATTGAAGTTGTTCAAAAAATATATGATAGTATTTTATCATGAATGATGATTATACCCCTTCCGGAATTTCTTCTATAGTACTACCAAAAGTTGATTAAACAAATATAACACAGGTGCAGTGAGGTACCCGTAATCCTCATTTCCAAAGCTGTTTTAAGTATGTCTGGCGTGTTTTGTGCCTTTTTACAAATAAGACCGCTTAAGCAATCTTACGCTTTGGAATTTTTAGTTATTTTCCTCAAGCCCTGCAGGATGTGGGGGCCATACACAACTCTACCGGAGGGTCAAATGTCTTTGCATGCCTCCATAGGTTGTTTTTCTATTGCATATTTTTATTTTCAATTGCATTATATTTCTTGGAATAACACTGTCACTGATATGTCGCCAGACTTCTGATATCTCCCCGTCTGCTTTAGTTGTCCTGTGAATAAATAATAGGAAATTGAGATTAGACGAATAGTTGAAAGTTTTTCTTATGTCGGCTTAATTTCTTGATTGATATAGGCCTACTTACTATTTCTGCTATTGCCTCTTGTGCTGCAAGAGTCTCACAATGCTTAGACAGGTTTGTCCACAACTTTCACATCTGAAGAAAGAGAGGAGATTTATTAATTTTCGTTAAGAATAAATAAAGCAGTCTATATGATTCAGAATGGAAAAGCTAATAAATCCAATATCTCATGTTTTATTTAAAAAATATTTTACTGAATTTGGTATATAAACCAACTAATAAAAGGGTTTAGTCAGACAATTACAAGCATTCGTGGCTCCAAATACTTGAGAAATCAGACTATACAATATAGACCGGTATGAGTGAAATGTTAGGTGAACTTGTTAACACTTCGATTCAATACGCAAATAAAAGTGAATGCGTAATAGTATGTTACAATGAGCAGCAATCAACAATGAGTATATATCTTCACTGATTAAAAAAATCTAACTGGAGGTGCATGAACTATTTGAAACCATAACGGGTAAGTAAATATGTAATTTCGGCAAATGGGCAACTACGTACCGTACTGAATTAATAACTTCGTAGTATTTGACAAAGGCCGGCTTTCCCACATGTACTTAACAGTGCGATGCCCGGGTGTGATATACAACAATAGTATTCACCTTACCTTTTACCGATTTCTTTTACCCCAACTTTCAAAAATGTCATTAAAATCGACAACAACTGTCAAAGCAGGCACGAACACCATTCGTGCTACGCCTTGAAAGCAGCACACATCCGCTCGTTTTCGTCTCGTCAAGTATGTGCATTGGAGCGTGCTATCGAATACGATCTTCGGACAAAAATGCCGGAGTTGCGCATCATGTTGTTTAATGTCATTGGTCAGCCGAACCAAAACGTAAAAGGACTGCTAACTCGTTCAAAAAAGATTGGTTGGATGAAGCAGTGATAACGGCAACTCCCACGGCTCATGATGATCAACGTGTATATTTACGTGATGTATTTGTATATGATGAAAATGAAGGCATTATTACATGTCTTTATTGTCATGATGCCATGGTTTCTGGTGAATTTTCAAATGGCAAAAAGTGGTACAATAATGTATGGAAGCTTGACTTTTTAAAACGGCATTTAAAAAGTAAGACCCACCTATATGGTGTACAAAAGCTCAGAAACAAGAACCCTTTATTACCAGCCCATGGAATATTAAAAATGCTAAGTGAAACCCCAGAGGAACGTAATCGGAAGCGTGCATGTAAGGAAGAGATTGTAATTCTTATTGACAACATTCTATTGGCAGTAAAGATGAACAGTTCTTTACTTTCTGTACAAGATATCAACGACCACATGGCTAAGTATGTTCGAATACCTGAAAGTTGGCCAAGCAAAAATTACGCTTTTGAATTTTTGGAATCTATTGATGTAGTTATTAGCCAGGAAATAATGGAAGAAATAGCTTCTGCCGATTTTCACACTCTAACTGTAGATGAAAGTACAGATATATCCGAAAGCGAATGTTTGATTTTATATGTTAAATACAGAGTCTCTTTTGAATATAAAACTAGATTTGGTGGAATCATACAACTAAAGTCGTGTGATGCTTCATCTATTGTCACTGCAATTGAAGAGTTTTACAAAAAATATAGACTGGAGCTGGATAAAATGGTTATGTTTACATCCGATGGTGCAGCAGTAATGCTAGGTAGAAGAAATGGTGTGGCGGCGAAGCTCAAAGAGCGTATACCACATTTAGTACAACAACACTGCGTTGCACATCGGGAAGATTTGGGCATAGCTGATACATGGAAAGAAGTGAAGCTATTGCAAGATATCGAAACGTTAATGCGAACTATTTATTCCATGTTTTCTCGTTCTACAATCAACCGCTGTAAATTTCAAGATATTGCTGCAGCTTGTGAAAACGAAGCGATTGCTTTTAAACCACTTAATGAAGTTCGATGGTTGTCACGTCACTTTGCTCTGCAGGCCATCATTAAAAACTATGATAGCTTGATTGCATATTTTGAAGAGATGAAATCTAATGACCCAATTTCTAAATATTGTTTTAAAAAATTAAAAAATAATGGAGTTCGTATAGCTTTGGAAGTTTTAAATGCGGTTTTTGAGCAACTAGCTGCTTTGTGTAAAATTTTCCAAAGACAAGGATTGACACCGATTGATGCACAGAATTTTGCACATGCAAAAATATATAAACTACGGCAGAAGTATCTTGGTGACACAACATTTTGGGGTGAAAGAGTGGATAATTTGTTAGCTAGAATATCGGAAGAAGAAATTGCCACTTTTGACTCTGAAGGACTGCTGGATTTTATAAGGCTTTTATGTGATCATCTGATAGAAAGATTCCCAGAAGGAGAGGTACAAGACTGGGTAGCTTTTGATTGTGCTGCATTGAAATCCCCTTGCTATACTTTTGGTATCACCGAAATTAAAGCTCTGTGTTCTAAATATGAGTTTGTTTTGCCAGAACGAAGTATAATTATTGATCAATACACAGATTTTAAATACGCAATAGCTGAAAAAATTAAGGCTGGAGTTGTTAGCACTTTTGCTGATTTGATAAACTTTATGTTTCAGCATGAACAGTTTAGAGAATTGGCAAAGCTTGTAGATATCGGTGGGACTTTTCTTGCATCCAGCGTTGAATGTGAGCGCGGGTTTAGTTTGATGAATTCCATCAAAACCAAGCTAAGGAACAGACTGGGAGAAAGGCATTTGGACATGATAATGAGGATCAAGTCTTATCAGCGAGATGGATGTGTTATAGACAAGGTGAAGGTTTATGAAGAATGGGTCAGCAATAAGGATAGACGTGAGAAAGTTGGTCAATGAAAGTAAAGAAATACTGTAAAACATAGGTCCTCGACTCTTTATAGCATATTGTCCCCTGACACGAGATAGAGCTAACGTTTCTTTTTGAAAAACATTGCTCCAATTGTTTCGTTTTCTTTTGTTCTTCTTCACTCGACACCTTCAATGACAGTAGCATCAGACACAACTGAAAAGTGGTCGACTTCCAGCCCAAGAAGGGTAAGGGAAACCGATTTTCCCAAGTGTGGTTGATGATCAGAGTCTAATAATACAAATTCAGATTTTAAAACAATAATCAGAGGCAAAGCATCGAATAAAATGGGTATTAAAACAGTATAAAAACATAAAATATTGTTACAGATAGGTTTTGACCAAATCCTGGCGTGCTCGCCATTGTCACAGATAGGATTTTGTTAGACCCGTGTTGAATGAATCATGAGAATCAACATTCCGGATTTATTGATAACTCAACATTTAAAACAGCAAACTCAACTAACAAAATTGCAAAGCTGTCGGAATCTCATAATACAAATTCGGATGTTTATACAGCATCGAATAAAAATTCAACATATAAACGTGAAAATATATACACAATACAGGAGAAAAATGCTCAAATATGTGCCCACGGTCGGATAAACAAAATATTTTATTACCAATTCCACGAAAATCACACATGCTAACTTAACATTACCTGTATATCATTATTCGCTATTTGATTAAGGTTCTTGTGCATATTAAAAATTATTAACTAATACATAAACTAATAATCTGGCCATAATGGAAGGAAAAATTGACCAATTAAAATCAAAACTGGAATTGATGGAAACTCGCATCACTAACAACTTGAAAATCGAAATTAAAGCGATTGTAGAGGAAAGTATAAGGGACTTGTTCGAAGACTCCATAAGCGAACATGATAAGAAAATATCTACCCAGATCAACGAATCGGTAATGAACAACACCCAACAAATGGCTGATAAATTGGAAGCAATGTTTCATCAGTGCGACCAACTGGTTGACAAGGTTTCTAAAGTAAACAAAGATATAGAGTGTTTGCGCCTGAATACTTCCAAACTTGACACTGACCTCTGTACTGTTCAAGCCAGCCAAAACTTCATCAGTGCAGAGTTTGAGATCCAGAAAGACTATATTTCAAAACTGGACCAGGTGATTAGGGATCTGTCTGCTAAAAATGATAAACTGTTAAAAATGTATACCACCCTACAGCAACGTTTCGACCACGATTTTGAAGACCTGGCTCAGTACGTGAGGCGGGAAAACCTTGAATTTCATGGGATTCCATATAGGGAAGGGGAAAATACTGATAATATCATTGTTAAAATTGGCAAAGCACTAGGAATCGAGGTTGAAAGACTGGATATCTCAGTATCTCACCGTCTTCCTAGAAGAGACAGCACCAAAATCGGACCGATCATAGTTCGTTTTACGAATAGGAATAAAAGGAACCAATTCATTGCTAAAAAGTTTGAAGCTTCTAGAATCAAAGACTTTGGGATTGCAGGTTTGTCCACTCTTTACATTAATGAGAACCTCACAAATTTTCGTAATAATCTTTTATATAATTCACGATTAGTCAAGAAATCTAAGATGTATGAGAGGCTTTGGACTACCAATGGCAACATATACATGAAAAAATCCAAAGAAAGTCCTAGGATTCCCATAACCAAGCTCTCGGATTTAGAAAAACTATCCTAGATTGACTATTTACAAATCTGAATTCCTATATTAGATAAGTAAAATGGCTGCTCAGCCTTTTTGCTTTAATTGTTCTAATATTCATTCTACAAGTAATAATAGTCTTTGCCAAAATTGTTTAAAATCTCTTTTTCCATTTCATACTTGCCGTTATTTAATAGACAGAAAACTAGAACCCCTTGACACTTCTGAATTCAATTTTGAAAATGTTAGTCCATGCCTGTCACTTGAGACTGCTGACAGTGTATGTAACATCCTAGGTTGTACCAGTTTATCTAAAAATAAGTTCACTTTGGCTCATTTCAATATTCGGTCTATACAAAAGCATATTGACGAGTTGTCAAACATTATACATGATCTAAATTCATCCCCTACTGTAATAGCGCTATCCGAAACAAAACTCAAAACAGACCCTTTAGTTAATATAGATATTGAAAGTTATGTATTCCTCCATACGCCAACAAAAACTCATGCTGGTGGGGTTGGGCTATATGTAAAGTCTTATTTAAATCCGTTATTGGTACACAAATATATTCTGAATGTCAACTCTTGTGAAGAACTTTGGGTTGAAATACCTATTCATTGTGGAAAGTCTTCTTCTATTATTCTTGGTGTTGTATATCGACACCCTGGATCCAGTGAATCTGATTTTATGTGCGCTCTTAGTAACACCCTACACCTTCTGGCACTTGATAAAAAGAAATATATTATATTGGGTGACATTAATATCAATTTATTAAGCTCCACATCATTTGCAATAGGTTTTCTTGACATGCTGAGGTCCCATGCCACAATTCCATTAATAACTCACCCAACTAGAGTGACCAGCTCTAGTACTACTCTAATTGACCATATTTATTCCAATATATCCGAGAAACCAGTCTCATGTATTGTATGGCAACACTGCATGACTGATCATTATCCCATTCTTTGTCAATTTCAACTGCATCATGCATCCCCCAATGTTCAACATAAGCTTAAACGTGACATGAGAAAATTTGATTCAGCTAAATTCATTCAAGATGCCCATGAACTTTTTTACTCGCATGACCCTATTAGTATTAATGCTGAAAATTTCAATTCATACTTTAGCAATTTTATTACCAAAATTTTAAATGTATGTGATAAACATGCACCACTAAGAAAGTTAACTAGAAAAGAACGCCGACTAGAAAGGAAACCTTGGATAACAAATGGCATTCTGCGCTCAACTAAAATCAGGGATAAGTTACATAAATCTCATTTTATTAAGGGCTCCATGGAACAAAAACTTTACTACAAAACATATGCCAACAAATTGTGTCATCTGAAGCAAAAAGCTAAAGAGACATATTTCGCTAACTGTTTCGAAAATAATAAAAACGACCCAAAAAAGACTTGGAGTACTATCAATTCTTTAATAAACTCAAAATCAAATAAAGGCATTCCGCAAAAGCTAGTCAATCAACTCTCTGGAGAGATTGTGCGTGACAGTGAAAAAATTTCTCATATGTTTAACAGTTATTTTTCTCAAATTGGACTAAATTTGTCTTCTGCTTTCCATACTGTGAATGACAACGAACACCTCCAATTCATGGGTTCGCCAAACAAGTTGTCCATGTTTATGGAGGATTCCTCTGTCACTGAAATTGAAAATATTATTAATTCCTTGAAAACAAATAAAGCAACTGGGTATGATCATATACCAGCTTATCTTTTAAAACTCCTCTGTGGTGCTATTAGTCCCATACTTTGTAAACTATTCAATTCATCTGTGTGTTTAGGCCTATTTCCAGATCATCTCAAAGTAGCCAGGGTTGTCCCAGTACACAAGGCAGGAAAGAATGATGACGTGTCAAATTATCGACCCATTTCCATTCTTTCATGCCTTTCAATTGTTTTTGAGAAACTGATGCTCGTTCGCTTACAAAATTTTTTACATAAACATTCAATTATAAAATGTGATCAATTCGGTTTTCGAAATCATCATTCAACAAAGCATGCAATTCTAGATATTATTAGCAAATATTATGAAATCATAGATAAGGGATTTGTGGGATGTAGCGTATTTCTGGATTTAAAGAAAGCTTTCGACACTGTCGATCATAAAATACTTATCAGTAAGCTGAAACATTATGGAGTCCGTGGAAATGTGAGTAAATTGTTTGCAAATTACCTGGATGGTCGCATGCAATTTGTAACTTTTTCTGCCTATAATTCACCTCGCGAACGCGTTCATGTAGGCGTGCCACAGGGCTCGGTTCTTGGCCCGACCCTGTTCCTGGTATACATAAATGATGTGGTAAACAGTACTCCAGCAATTGTCAAACTTTTTGCTGATGACACGAGCACAACGTCCATATCTTCTAGTGTCACTGATTTGTCCAGAAAAGTTAAACTAAATTTAGAAAATATTTCCCAATGGATGAAATGCAACAAATTGACCATAAATCCTGAAAAAACCCAAGTACTACTAATAAATAATCCTTATGATAAAAATAATGAGTATTCACCTATACTCAATTTGTCTCTAAATAATGTCAGTTTGAAAGTACACGACGCTGTAAAATATCTTGGGATACTCATTGATAATAGGCTTAAATGGGATAACCACATCAATTTACTTAAATTAAAACTGTCTAGGGCTGTTGGGATAATGTCAAGACTAAAACATTTTATTCCTAAAAAAATTATGCGAACTGTTTACTTCTCTCTATTTTATTCTCACCTTCAGTATGGAATTGTGGCATGGGGCTCTGCAGATAAAAGTAGACTCCACGCTTTATCAGTTTTACAAAATCGAGCTCTTCGCATTATGACAAGTACTCCTCTGCTGCATAGTATGAGTCCTGTTTACAGGCGCATGAATCTTCTTAAATTAAATGATGTTTTTATTTATGAGGTTGCAAAGTTGATGTTCCAATTTAGGCATGACATGCTTCCAGTAGCATTCAATTCGTATTTCACAGACTGTAGTTCTGTGCATTCATATGGAACTCGGTCTGCAACAAAAGGTGCATTCTTTATTTCTCGCACAAATTCAAAATTCGCTCAAAATTCAATCAAAATTACTGGACCCAGAATCTGGAATAATATTCCTGATAATCTTAAGGCACTTTCGTATAAAAAATTTAAATTTGAGTACATGAAGCATATTATATCCAAATATTAATTAATGAAGGTGCCAGCTCTACTTTACTGGATACTGATGACTCCAGTAGATAAGTGTCAAGGAGTCTAGTTATATCTGGTTTTCTGCCTATTGTATTGTAATCTACTACTATAATTAGTAGTACCTGCAAATTGATGCCAACTTATGAACCATTTACCAGTATCAAACTATGCCTATATTTGTGCCATGTTCATATCCATTTATAGACTGTCCAACGACTCTTAAATTAATGTGCCTGCAATGCATACCCAATACAGCTGTATATAATTTTTGATTTTCCAAAAATTTTGAATCAATGCCATAGTAGCATTTTACCCTATGCAGCTGTATATAAATTTTGATTTTCCCCAAAATTTTGAAATCACTCTAGTAGCATATGGTAATAGCCTTCATTAATTGCCAATATTTGCATGCTTATTTTAATTTATACATACTGTTATTGCAATGTTCATCTTACTGACTGTTTTTGAATATAGCTATGCTTTTAAGATTGCAACCAAGGCATTATACTGCAAAAGCCCATATTTGTGCCAGGTTCATGTCCAAATTGTAATACTGTCATTCAAGTATGAAATCCATTTTATCTTGTTGTAGGTATATCATAATTGAATATCAGCTCATAATCTATCAGGGTGAACCAATCCTTATTATAGATAACGACCTGTGACCAGATTTCCTTGTCACATTTTGATTCTACTATCTTACCTAACTAAAATATCATCTTTAATTACAACTTTCGCTATGTTATGTAATTCAGTATTTGTATCAATATGCACATAAACCATTTTTCATATATATTATATGTTGGTGAAACATCTAAATTTGTTCACAATTATTATTTATTACTGTTTCTATAATGCTGTCAATTGCTGTGCATATATAATTCTACCATGAAAAAGTATGTTGTCCATCCATTTAACACTCGTTCGGCATCTAAAGGAGCATTCTTCATTTCTTGAACCAATTTCAAATTTACCCAAAATTTGATAAAAATTGCTGGCCCCAAAATTTGGAATGAAATACCCGCTATTTTCAAGACATATTCGTATAAAAAATTCAAAGATGAACTTATGAAACACATCATATCAAAATATTGATTGTAATTGATAAGGTTTCCATAGCTAAATAAATATTTACTTATTTGTACAGATGAGTTCAGTCAAGAGATCATTTCTATCCTTTTGTCTGTCTATTGTCATGTGGATTTTTCAAATTGAAGAGTTCATTCGGTTCATTTGATTAAATTAACATATGATTTGGTATTGTACTTCACAATAGTATTCAGTGGTGTTCTCTATACATGTAGAAATATGTAATCTATACACATGTCACTGATTTCCTATGCAAAATATTTCAATTTCCATCCCACCGTTATACTTCTATTCCATGCATATGCAATCTTACAATCTTCTGCAACTCAGTAGTGATGACTCTGAATCCAACACTTCCAAGTTTTACATCAAATTATACTGTGAATTAGTATCATGCTTCATTGAATTATTTATGTGCAATGTGTAATTAATATTCATGTCACTTTCTTAATATGCAAGCCCAAAAGTTCCTTGGCTATGCATTCTATTGCAAATCAGTGCTGATCTACATTTTCAAAGTATTCTTAATATACTGTTATTAAATATTGGGTTTCATTCCTTCTTATTACATGTTAATTTACTTTCTATATTTCTATATATAAATGACCCAATTATGTTTGCTCCTAATGGTATTTGTTTTATCGATTTTAAATGAAATTATCTAATAAAAGTTGGATCATGTGTTGGAACAGAGTTGATTCTGAGGCAGTTATATATAAAACAATCTTTGATGTAACTTAAATTCCTTGCTGAAGTTTGATGTTTGTCGATTTGGTCCTAGCCTAGTCAGGGGTAAATATACACTGTATCCTTTAATCCATATACACTTGCAATTCCAATATGCCTGACTTGTGTCTTCGCAGTGAATTGTTGTTGATATCTCATTGTGATTTTGAAGACTACTGTTTTTTTATGTTTGCAATCCTTCACTATATCTACAAATTGTACATATTGCGAGTTCTACTTTAAAACTCTAAAACCAAAATTCCATTCAGGATATTGATACCTTGGCAAAATGAGCTATTTTTTTTTTATATTAGATTACTATTATTAATTGTTAATTTCCAAATTGTCTAAAATTGTGTTTAAAAAACGGTTACATTCTTCATTCTCCATTTATAAAGTTAAGCCAAGCTTATATTACATACATGTTACTTGTTCGGCAACATGTGCTCTTTATTTATATATTTGATAACTACCGTAATATTTCATTTATAGTGACCCAAATCATGTTCCATTCTTTTTTTCTATATTATAAATTTAATATGCCAAGCTTTTATGCATTCATGATATTTCCTTGTTGACATGAGCTCTTTATTTGATTTATTTTTTGATTGCTATTATTAAATGCTCTCATGTAAAAGAGTCCCTAATTGTGTAATAAAATGTTCCACTCAATTTTTCTATCTTATGAAGTTAATATGCTAAGTTATTAGCTCTTTTTCATCAACCTTTGACCTACCAACGATATCTCAATACTTTCCTATTGAGATCCCTGGCTAATCTATGATAAATTAATCCATTTACTACCAATTAGTGTAAAAATCTGGATAAATGGCCTTGATTTATGAATTGTTCTATTTCTATGTACAAACACTAATATTTGATGTTAATTTTTAAAGTGTTCTGAATCATTTCACATAGTGTTATGAAATATTGAATCTTATTTATTCCTACATTAAGTCAACTGTTTTGTTTTTGCATTAATTTTCTTGATATTTTAATATCGATTGTTTGTTTATACAAAGTTTACAATGTATTGCATTTTTAAAATGCATTTTTTTGTTGTTTAAAGCAAATTCTAATTTGTTTTGATGACTCAACCCATGCATCTGATTACATTGCACTAGTGTGTGTAGAATAGAACTCTACCCATATTCGCTTGTTCAAAATCCCACTTGTTATGTTTAACTTAAATTCATTCAATAAAACAAGTTACCCAAATAAGGGGTAGCTTGTCTGACCTGCTTTCCCACTTTTTTTCGTTTTGATCATTTTATATTTTGCAATATAATTTCAATTTGTGCAAAATCCTATTATTTAAAAGAATGCTTCCATAATTAAGAATAGTAAATTCATGTAAATATTGTTCATAGTATAAATCGTGAGAGACATTGAAATATTGACACGAACCTGTTATTTTTATGCTTATTTAATATAATTGGGTGGCAACTGACTCTGATGACCCCCAAAGGTCGTATCGTTGCCCCCCAGTCATATACCGAAAACTATTTTTTTTGATATTTGTTTATGTGTGCATAAATTGTTTTCTTGGTTTGACAAAATGAAATAAACTCTCTCTCTCTCTATTGGTGTGTGACGGTAAGGGACTGCCATAGTTTTCACAGGTCTTGTGACCCGTTCTTTTTGATAAATATGAAAATTCATATTCCCAGTGTGATGGGCAAACCGACCACCTAATATTGCCATACCAACCCCTACGGCGAGGGGCGTGACCTGTATGGTATGAAACCACATTATTACTTTTTATCGCACTATTTTGAAATAATATCAACATTAAAATAACATGAGAGCAACGCTCAAATATATGGACACGTGGACTAGAGCGAAGCAGGGTTTACCTTTAATGTTACCGGTACCGTACCCTCAAAAAGTTCCGGGTTTTCAGCATTGGTTTTCAGTCGCAAGAATTTTCACCGTCACGCTTGGCGGATAAAAAACCGTGTTCCCATAATTAAAAATTGATACAGCGCAATTTTGGATGAAATATGAGATCTCATAAGATTCATAGAAAATTCAGGAATAATTGAAAGTAATAGCCTTCTGGCAAAAAAATCAATCTTGAACCACTGAAAATTCCAAAGCAATTGGTCCAGTATTCGAAGAGAAAAGCGATTTTTTAATGATAATGACGAAAAAAAATAACAATAACAACAAAATTTTGAAACGATCGTTATGGCCACTAAACGTGTCCAATAAACGTGTTCAAAAATATAATTTTAATTTCTATTTAAAATTTGCCCCCGGATATCATGCCTGTTAATCAAATCTGAGGGCAACTTATCACACGATAATGACGTCACTTGTTCAAAGTTTTGTAATTCCACATTTGTTCCGGCTGTCGAGGCCTTGTCGTTTTTTTGTTTTGTTGTTTGTGTGTCTGCCTGTCGCAAGGTTTGGGATTGCGATTCAGAATAACCGAATCGTTAGAGATCATACAATGACCATACAAGATTGAAGTCGGAACGTGGCAACTGTATTTTTGGATTATAAAGACGCCAAGTAAGACAACGAGCAGCTCCTTTAGCAATTACCGGTATCGGATCGTCAGCGATCGTTTATTGGAGAAATCGGGAACTGCGGTTTAAGGTTATAAGTTTACTTTCCAAGATTTAAAAGAAAAAGAGCATTGCAGGACTGTAATTTCAAACTCTCAAAGCTGCAAACTTTTCAGCTTTGTTTTGAGGTGATACCGGTACGTTGAGTCCAATTTAAGAAACTGGTTTTAGACTCAAGTATTTACCATTCAACTATTTCACCATTAGAAATCATTCAAGCGTAACCGGTCAAAATACTCTCACATTGAAATAATCCCAAAACATAGCATTATGGGGAAGTCACATTCTGACCACTGGTTTATCAAAGAAGAATTGAAATGGAGAAGTGTTGCCAGTGCTTTTTGGACTTTCATGATGACATTTCCTGTACTTGCCGCATCAGTTTTTGTGTTCACAATCCACCCAGTGAGACATATTTTCATGTTTTTTGACTTTATCAGCATTGCATCGACGATAAAAACATGGGTTATATTTCCTTTCATTGCATTTTTTGCAAGTATGCTTGTTTGCTTGCATTTTAAATGTTTCAAAGTTTCACCGATTTTCCCAGTTCATCGGTTCGGAATTTTCACAAAAGTTTTGAAACCAAACAATCTAATCCACATCTTTATTAATGGAGGATTTTCGACGTTAGTTGCCCATCTTTTCACAAAGATCGTTCCTGGAAGATATTCAGGCATATACAACCAATGCTCAGATGAAAACGAGAATCTCAAACTCTGTATAAATGAGTTTTGGTTCATCTTTGTATTCTTCGGTTTTGTTGTCGGCGTCACAAACAGCATAATCTTGATTTCTTGTCAAAAGAACACGTTAACTTTTTTACACGTCCAGGAAGCAAGATTCTTGTTCATAAAATGCAAATTACCGTGCATCATCACCATGTCTGCGGCTACAAGTTGGGAATATTTTCGTCACTTCGTTGTTGGATATTACCTTGTGGGATTCGTTGCTAGAGACCTTGTTGCAGTATTTCTCGGACTTGTAGCAAATAAAGAATATCTTCTCAGCGTTTGGACAATTTATCAAATAATTCCTGTAGCTTGGAACCTTTGGCTTTTGGGAACGTTTTTACTCTTGATTTGGGAGTTGTCATGGCAACTGTTTAATATCTATAACACCCAAGATTACCCTTTTATGTTCGACTCTGTTTTCCCGGAAGATCAAAACAAACTTCTTCTTGATAATTTGAACGAATCTAATCCCCCAGCTGTTCAAAATCTCGCTTTCCAAAGCTTAAGCATTGCTGTCAAACGAAACGCATCAAAGCGTCAGCAAATATTTCAGCTGAGTCATAAAACGGAGAATGGACGGCCAATTTGGTGGAATAAAGTTGTAGAAAATTGTCTTCCACGAATTCAGCATCTCACAGAAAGCATTATTGAATACCAAACGTCTCAAGATCAATGGCAAAGTAATAGAAAAGTCTCTTCAACTTCATCTGAACATAGCAACGAAAGCGGGATAACCAGCCCTGCGAGTGTTTCAGTTTTCAAGCGAAGAGACTTCAATGCTTCATCTTACCAGGCAGACGCAACTAATATATCCTACTTTAATGTATCTTCGTTAAATGATACTCACTCTACGTCACGAATTCAGAATGTCTCAACTCTCGCTGTCCCAACTCCAAGATTATGGACATCGCCAACTAAAGTTGGGAAAGATGACACTCTCACTCAAACAAGTTTTGTTCCAGCTCCGTTTCAAGTCGGAGTGTTTCAAAAGCGCTGGGGATATTTCATGCAGAATTTGAAAACTTTATCTATAGTGCAGTATTTTTTCAAACCAATTCCTACAAGGCAATTACGGAATTTATACCGAGAACATTTCATATATAAATGTGCGATGCAAATTCTATCGTATCTTTGCGCTGCTTCGGTTTTAGAGGACAAATTTGGTATCGTTCAAGGTCATTTGCATGAAATAATTTCATCGCTAATCGAACTGTTAGTTGCTTCTGAAAAGCTCGGAAAAGTGTCGCCATCTTCTACCTATGTGTATAAACTTCATGTTGGATTACGAAACGAGATTAAAGCATCGTTGCATCGAATCACAGACGCGTACGGCGAAAGTTTAAAGTCTGTGAATCTGTCACAGGAACATAGAAGAAGACTGGAAGGATTTTGCTCATATGCTGAGTAGTAATTCTAAACTTTTTCCAGCGTGTCTTTTGGACTGTAAAACGAAGAATTAATGAACTATGACAGGGTTAGTGCCAGATTGGAATTTGAAATACACTTTTGTGTAAGGTTTAGGAGAAAATTAGTGGAATAAACTAACCCTGTTTAAAGCATATTACTTCTGCCAGTTTCAAAAGTAGGTGTGGTGCTATTTAACACAAGAAAAGCCACTGTCAACACATATATCTTGTGATCAGCTGAAGTTGATGGGAAAATACCTTGAATTTTTCCAGATGTATAGGCTCGATTACTCCAGCATTGCCATCATACAGCTATATCATGACTCTTGCATGATGTGAATTTATTTGGAAGTGAAATACGATATGGGAGATGGATATTCTGTTTAGTTAGTTCGTTTTGTTCAATTTATGAGTTCTCAAAATTTTTACTGCTATGTCGTTATACGTATTTCCCAAACGCTGTTTTTACTCCAAACAATGCTCTGTACATGTATTCACTGATATATAAAGATATACTTTTTTCAGGACTGGAATCTTTCCAATACAGCATCCTTACCCAATTTATCACAACCTGATGAGCAAGGAACTTAAACTTGCGATGTTCAACATTTCAACTACTAGAGCCTTCCACGCTCATTTACTTGAGTATTTTCAATGTTTCCACTGCCATGTTTCTTTTAATGCTTTGTTGCCAATAGCAGAGCAAATTAGCCACTATTTTATTATCAACTTGCTTAATTATTATGAAAAAGTCATCGCTTTACCAGTTTTTTAACTTTGCTGGCCATGCAAAAGCGAAGGAGATTCATGTTTGAGCAAAGTTAAGTAAGACCATTGATTTTCTCTGGCATGAGTTTTAAATAAAAAAGTTGACTACAAGCTAAATTATTCCATAAATTTGTAATGTTAAGAACTTAAGAACTCAACTGTTATATCTCAAGCCTCTCGCTAATTTGGGATTGTATGTAATAAGTTTGGTTGTATTGTTTAAAATTTTTTCTTTAATATACCGGTAGTCATTTGGAATTGGAAGATGGAATTAGGCATAGATTGGATAAACTGAATTCAATCAGATTTTTAGGGTCCTATTTTGTCTGCTGTATTTCAAGGTCCTTTGCAAGTTTGATAATCTCTCTACCAGACTTTGAGTTCAAATTTGTTATCCCAAATAGTATTTCAAATTATATTCTGTTTTTCCAGCGCTTTCATTTTTTTACCTATTTCATTTAAATTTGGCTTGCAGCGGTTCATTTTTTTCCTCTTCCAACTCAGATTGTTGCTAAAATGATCATTTGAATAATATCTGAAAAAAATTACTGAAATTGGAAAAGTGACACGCTCAAGCCTGACAAAAAGAGGTCAAAAAACTGGAGCAGATTTGATTTGGTTATCCTTGGCACAATCTGACTCTGTTACTAAAAGGAAATATTGAGGCATGTGATGTCACTCTTATGTTAAGGTCCTGCATGTGCACGCTTTTCATTTCTCATTTTCATACTTTTGTTGTCCAGGCAATGTCTCTTCACATTATTGTTGCCAATTCGCTGTCCTGTTATTGATATTGCCTCGCCATCTCAGAAGTAAATAGTTCATTTTAAAAGGGATTCAGAAAAGCCTCATTTATAAATTTTGTTCAGACATAAATGTATATTGTAATGTAAAAAATCAGTCAAAGCTTTCAATTTACTTACAAATATGTTATGATTTCTGAAATATTTCTCTGGTTAACATTAACAAGACTCATTTCACGGGGCATTTGGTTTTCACGCTTGAAAATATTAATTTAGAAGTGCTATTCCATCCTTGTTCATTTGTTTGCTTTGATTCTATTTATCTTAGGTTAGGTCGGGGGTGTGCATTGTGGCCCTTCTGTATTAAAGGTTGCACACCCGTGGCCTGGGTTAGGTTATTGCCACACCTAACTTACCCTAAGATTTGGCAATATCAAGATAGTATCGAGCTATGTTTGTACATGTTTATTGAAATTGACCAAATTTGCCTTTCAAGAATCAAACTTTATTTTTTTTATGCCAAGAAACAGGAATAATGTACTTTATTACATAATAATATTAATTTAATTCACCATTATGACGGATCAATCGCAAGTATTGAAAGTTGTCCTCATAGGAGATGGAGGTGTCGGCAAAAGTTCGTTAATGAATCGATACATAACTGGAAAATATGACGGACAGTCTTATCACACTATAGGTGAGTTCAACTTCCATTTGTTTTTGGACGCCAAGTAGGATAGGAATTTACCTATTTATCTTTGGGGAAAGGAAAGATTTCACTGCTGAATACATACAGGGTTACCATAAAGTCCCTTCACAATTTCAATTTTGTTATAAAGTCAGTTCTCAATATATCTTAATTAACCAGGTTTGTTGTTTCTTAATCAGTAATTAGTATTTTTACTTCATTTAATACATCTGTGAAGGCAAGAACAATATATGGTATCGATAAATTTTCTTCGCAATTTAAAAAATATTTAGGACTTATTGTACAACCATACAATATTATTGGAATCGAGTTATGAAATAAAATGCGGATAATTATTACCTAATACTTAGATGTACACCATGACATATAAAAGTATGTTATCATAATTTCCTGTCAATTCATACCAGGAAATCCCTTAGCAACACAGAACGAACGGAAGTAGTCAATTAATTTCTTTGAAATAAAACCTATGTGGTAATAAATCATGGTTTCAGCTAATATAATATTATGATGCCCTAGTGCAGTGGTTCCAAACCTTTTTTCAACACATCCCCCTTTGTGGAGTATTTTTAAGCTCCTTTCCCCCCCCCCCTTTTTTTTTTACATCGCTTCAAATGTCAAAAACTACTCAATTAACCCCACCCTCGGCTATACGAAATAAAAATCCTGCCGGTTGGGAAATGTTGCCCTAGTCGTGCCGGCATCGCAGATTGAATATTCCTTTATCAAGATCTACCATAGCTTTCTCATCATTTAGAATGATTTAACAAAAATGTTCCAATTGGTTATGAAAGGATCCTGCCCAATCAATAAAAACGATGCATCAAACAATATATTCCCTCCTTCCATCTAATTAAAAAAAATATATTTCTTATTTAAGGTGTGGAGTTCTTGAACAAGAACATCACATTAGAGAACAAAAAATATACGTTGCAGATCTGGGACACTGCAGGCCAGGAACGATTCAAAAGTTTGCGGACACCGTTCTATCGAGGAGCTGACTGCTGCCTCCTGGTGTATGCAGTCGACGACGAACAAAGTTTTCATAACCTGGACCTCTGGAAAAAAGAATTCTTATTTTATTCAAATATTGAAGACAGGTCTTTTCCGTTCATCGTGTTAGCGAACAAGTGCGACGTGGATCCCGCAGATCGCCAAGTCTCTGAGGACCAGGCTAAGCTCTGGTGCCAGCAGAACGGGGGGTATCCCCACATTTCAACGAGTGCAAAAGACTCCACAAACGTAGACACATGCTTTGAGACCGCTGTACGAAAGACCGCTGTCTCACAGCTTCATACTGGGGAGGCCAGTATCAGTAATTTAACCTCTGGCACTCCTAGTGTCAACTTGAAAACAATGGCAGCAACAAATCGATCTAGCGGTTGTTGCTAGGCGGGCTAAAACCGTTTCTAAGCGGCTGAATCGTTGCTATGCGACAATTGATTGTGCTCAATGACTGTGTGCATTGCTAAGCAATCAGAACAAATTATAACAAAAATCGTAGTGGTACGATTGGAAGTTCCGCACTCCAAGTTTGGGATCGGACGAGTAATTTGTCAGATCAATGAAAGACAAGTCAAATATTCCAATCTTTTATGTCAAAGCGCAAAAAATATGTTCCCCGAATGCTTGGTCGCAATATGCCCTCATCAACGCAAAGTTCTGTTTTCATGCGAAACTTTGACGTTGACAGCTTTTTATCCGAATATTTGAGATGGAAGCAAACAATGTAGGAATTAATTTACGAAAGGTAATAAGGTAATTGAATAAGGTAAAAATATAGCTGTTTTCAAATTGAGCCCAAAAACGCATGAATTCAATGAGACTGGTGCCCCACCCCAACTTTAAGGCGACTGTAAAAGCTTCCCTATCCAAATCTGAGCTGTCCATTACTCTAAATTTCCAACCAACCAACACCCGGGTTTTCATGTTCATGCAAGTGTCCACAGATATTAATCTTTTATAAATGCGACATCTTTACCATGTAGGTATACCGCTTAATGTTTCAGTGGTGGCAACTCTCCTATTACCGTTTATCTCCACATTTAAGCCGACCCCCTTAAAATTTATAAAAATTCGCAAATAAGTCGATCCTACCAATCGTGCGCTCTTATCGTGAGAACCTAAACTGGTTAGAGTTAGCTGTTGGAATTAAGTAAGCATAATTTCGTTTAGTGCGTTCAGAGTTACGAGTGTATAAGCCGACCTCGTAGTAGTTTGGCAACTTTTAACTTTTTTGAGTTTCAAACTTGGCTTAATATATGCGAGAATATACAGTTATATTTTTACCCACTTTAGTCAAGCACTGGTAGTCTGCAGACTTTTAACTAAACGTTTTTCCAAGTCTTTCTCAAAGGTAAGAGTCGCTGCTGATTCTGTATAACATCTCTGACGTATTAAAAAAAATATAATTTTTATGAATATTATTTTAGAAAATTTTGATTGTTGCAGTATACTGTTTTTTATTATTAAATTATATTTTGATTTGTAAAAAAATGCTCGAGGTCGAACTATATTTTTGTCAGCAACGTATTGGTCCATGAACAAGCCTCTGTACAATTAGTTTTTACTCTGGACTGTAGGGATGGAATTATTCTCAATTCGTTCAAAATTATGTTTTCCTATTTACCGACATGGAGGTGACTAATTTTGTTTCCCTACTTTACATCAAGTTGTGTAAAGGGTGTGAAACCTATGGACAGGGGAGTATATTCACTTGGCTGACACAGATAGTCTCGAACTCGTAATAGAACTAAAATAAGGAAAATCGGAATAAAATTAATCTTAACCTGGTACACACTATGGGAGTACCTATTGCTGATGGTATTTGTGGCACGAGAGAAGCCACTGTTCAAAGAACCCTTGCAGTTTCAAGATAATTTTGGTTTTGAGAATTTCCTCTTCGTATCCCAAAACTTGTTTCTTTGCAAGCAGGGCTGGCCAAAATTGAATTTCCAAATTCATATCAGAAAAATATCCTAGTATGGAAAATATTTTAAATTAGGTCGTGTTTAGATTGGTCATTATATATTTATTGAAATAGTTAAGTTTTTTCGCATAATAGTAAATAATTTTTTGAAGACCGTTTGCTAAGATTAGTGGTCCTTCCTCATTTGTGAGGTCTTGTGCAATATTATGATTGGCTGATTAACTTCAAATGTATTTTTATACTATTATGATGTAACAAAGATGATTAATATGATATAATAATTATTAATAAACACTGATAACGTAAAGTTGTGTGCTTCAGACATGTACATGTGAATTTTTTTATGTTTAACATGGAGAGAGAAAAGCTCAATCAGTCGCGGACCACAGCAAAGGGGCCATGGGTGAATGAGGGTGAGAGCCGGATTTATCCTAAGAGAGAAGAAAGTTAGTTCAGTTGGCAGCCAGTGTCCGGGAAATTCGTCATGGGGGAGATTTCCTCGACTAATTTTTCTACAACCTCTGGCAGCCCATGTTCTCTTTGAAATTTAGGCGGATGAAAGAACAAGATGGCATCGATTCAAAATTCTTATCAGGACCGATTTGAATACTTTACTGTTGGAGTTGAAATGTTCAGCCTTAGTCAGATGTATCAGGTTCACCTGCAATCTCAGTTCATATTGGGTGATAGAATGACCAACAAGTTGGCTGTTTGTTTATTCTAAATGGACTTTGATATCATAGGAATGAGGATTAGACTGAGGCTGGGCATTTCAATGTTAAAATTATTTGGAACTGGCGGCAGAAGTTCCAGCAGAAGCATGGAGGTGGTGATTTTCAATATTTTGGTGCAGCAGAGCCCCAATGCAATATTCCAGAGGGCTGAGGAACCCCTGTTCAATGGTTTAATTGGCTTTTATTGTCTGAATATTCAAACAATATAAATATATATTACTGTGAACTCTTTTGAATATAAATGGAAACTTGCGGAACGCCTGTACAGGCAGAATGAACCCTGCAGAACCATGGCTGTATTAAAATATAGGATTTGCAACAGATGATTTAAGAAGGCTTGGTTGTTATCAATTTACTGTAAGCTGAAGTCAACATTTTTATGAAGTCAGTTTTAAATGGTTGTTGAGGTAGAATCTGACCTCACAGCCTAGATTTTGGGAGTTGTAACAAAATCGTTCCACTCGTGTTTCCGCCGTCCCAATGAGCCACATTGACTTCTATCTTGCACAATAAACCAACATTATTTCACAAAAATGGTTATAACTAGTCACAATCCAGTCCGTTATTCCTCTGCCCCACTTTATACAGTACATCTTGCATAAGATGAAAAACTTACAACAAGGGTAAACCAGAACAACCCCCTTCAAACATGCAAAACACGGAAACAATTCAGTACAAAGCATTATATTGAGCAAAGAATTACCAATTCTCAAAAAACAGGCAGTACATTGCAAAGGTTAATCAAGCACAAAAATAAGTTGGAACTAATTTTCATGGAATGTTTTACCATGAACAGAGCCTGGGAAGGAGCCACTGATACCACCTGGGCCCGTGGGTATAAAACCCGACCTGACCTGAGCCCGACTGATTAACTGAATTTGCAGGCAGAGATCGAATCGAACCAAAAATTTCATATTTTATTTAGAAGTTCTTCGAATTCCACACATAGTTTTAGTAAATATTTTTTATAAACATATATTTAATTAAAAAAAAGTCAGCGATAGAGGAGCCCGACCCGAACCTAATGATCGACATTTCAGGCCCGACCCGGCCCGAATCGGGTCAGGCTTCAGATTTTACCGGTAGTTCCAATTGACCCTCTTCAATTAGAAAGATATGGTAAAATGAGAGCAAAAACATTTCACTGGTAGCAAAGATGGTGAAACAGAATATTTTATTCTGGAAAATTATAATTTTGAACAATTTGGAGCATCATCGTTTTATTCCTGGAATGCGGAAATAGAAAACAGTTAAAATCACTGTTAATCTTTCCTGCATTTTCAAATTAAACTCATCGAAAGTTCTTTGTTAAACACGACTCACTTAAAAACATTCGTTATTTAAATATTTTTAGCAGATAATCCGACTTTGTCCATCCCTGGTTTGAACATTCTTTACCCCGCATTGACAATAGCTCTGGCTAAATTCCTCGACATATTTAGTTTAAGTAATTCCAGTCGTTTTTGTCGAGTTTCTTTCTCAGAGTCCGATAATTCTGAGTCTAAATTGATTTGGTCGAGAGTGTTTAATTTAGCGAGTAACTTGGCCGAGTCTGAAGCGTTGAACACGATCTCCTCACACTCAAGAAGAGGGAGACAGTCAATGAGTAGCGACGGCCAAAACTCAACAGGCGCTATATTTGAGATGAGTAGGTTGAGAAGTAGATTCCCAGATTCCTTGTGCATGCCTTCGGCGTAAAGTTTGTGAAAATCACGATATTTTCCTAAAAACGTCAGTCGATCTGATAACAGAATTGAAGGTCCTAAATAATCCAGCAAATCGATATGAGTGAATTCACCAGTTCGAGCGTATTCCGACAACATTTTTTCTGCAATTCGCATCGTTAAGGCTGAATCGTTGCATTTTAAACACCACGATAAAGCAGTGCCCAAACGATTTCGCTGTAGCGCTGATACACTCATTTGTCGACAGATACTTTGTGCTTCTGCAAGCAATCCTCGATTTTGGCAAATACGTAACAATTTTGAAGCTTTTTTCTCGCTTGTAATTGGAATTTTTCGCACAAATAGAGAGAGATAGTTATTCTCGTTCTCCGAGCATGCTGACAAATAATCAATCGTAACTCTCCATAGACTTTCATGTGACATGAGACTCGTTGCGTACTCCAGAATCAAAAGTTCATGAAAATCAACCCCAAATTCTAATTTTTTTGCGACAGAATCCCAAGATGGTAAAAAATGTCGGATAAATGAGCAGCCAACCACCAGTTACTCAACTGCTGACTGCATTCTTTAATAACAGAATACGGATCGAGTTCGAAGGCCGCGAGTAAAATATGATCAAAAGCTCCGAGGCGTTCTCGCCCTCCGCATGATTCAACAGATATTTTACTATGGTGCTGTAACTCCATGACACTGACGGTCGGTTGTGTGAAAAGTAGTCTCGATATCAACATTTGATGCCATCCGCCATAATCGGGATTCTCAAAAACAGCGTCGTCTCCGCATAAAATCATCGCAATTTCTTGTAATTCCTTGTTAACATTAAACTCTCCTTCGTCAAACCTACGACGACACTCCTCTTGCCAGTGGTTCCATTTCATCTCGAATTCGACGACTGATTGCCCGCGATAGTACGTAAAATGTGGCATTTTTCGCAGCAACTCTTCCATACTTAAAAATGCGTTATCTTTTTGACTCTGGCACTCTGGGTGAAGTTTCAACATGTTTTGGGCGTCGTCCGTTCGACCTTGAAGGACGAGACACTTGATGGTGCTCCAGTACAATTCATGATTATATGGTTGTTCCGTTTGAATGCATTCTTCCATAAAATCATCCGCTTGGGTGAAATGAAACTTGCACCATTCCGCAAGACGAGACAATACAACTCCCGCCGGGGAATTTTCGATGAAAAGTATTTCGCATAAATTCCAAATTATTTCCATCATACTCAGCAGTTCTAATTGCATGACCAATTGAACGTCCTCCATTATACTTTCCTCAATTTTAGATTTTATTTCGAGAACGCAAGCTCGCAAAACAGAACGATATTTCCGACTGAATTTCACAAGTAACTGTTGATCTTGACTACTTTTTTGAAAGTCATTTCTCGCTTCTTGCACTTCGATAAAAATTCGATGTGATTCGTTCAAAAGCTTCCGAGTAATGTCTAAATGCATTTCATTACTCCAGCGTACCTCGTGTATAAGGATTGGCAAATGAGCAAGTTGATTGGGTCGTTCTGACCCCACGTCACCCCCAGCTGCGACCATCATTTGATTTCCGACCCCCCAGCTACTTAAAATCCCACACGGATCAAAAAGTTTGTCGTTTATGTTCATCTCATTGACAAATTCCTCATTGTCAGCCATCTTGTTTTTCTATGATTGCCAAATCCAATATAGTAATATCAAAAAATTGTTTTAGTGTTTCAACTGAAAATATATAAAGAACCATAATGTAAATTAAAATAATACTGTAAAATAGGATTTCATATTTCAACATTTATTTATACCAATCAGAAATGGTAGTGAAAAACCACGAGCTAACAATTATACGGCAGCAATCCATTTTTTAAATCTGATATTAAAATCACTACAAATACTGAAATATTTTGGTTTTTAACTGAGAATTTGCACAAGACTGAAATGTTAAGATGGGATTTAATAACATTTATTCCTCTGTCTGTCTGTAGACTTGTACAGACAACTGGAAGATTGACTTATGCAGTGTGCTTAAAGCATTAGATTTAGGGCACAGTTCTACAATTCCAAGAATAGCCCCCATATTGTCATTGGAAGACCTCATTTCTTTCTGCAATTATAACAGTGAGAGTGAACCCCTTCTTTATGAAACAGTCAGGGCCTGCATATCGACTCAACGTGGCAAACTGGCACCGCGTAATAAACTAGAAGGAAGCCGTCACCATTGGATTCCTCGAGAAAAAATAATTCAATTTTGAAACGGTAGAGGAAAAGCATAAGACCGGAAGTTAGGCAATATGGCAGAAATCCAATATTTCGAATCTGAGGCTTTTTTATTTATACTTATTCAGTTAAAATTAGCAAATGCAAAAAACTTACGATATTATAATTATTATAAACCTACTTATTATTGAAATTATTGCTTAATATTATTGCACATAAATTTCGTAATTCCTTTCAAAGGGTTTGTCTTGTCTACTACATATTTTTTCTCTACACTAGGGCCATTTTTATCTTCTTTTTAAGGAAGTAAGGAGAGCAATAGGGTCTAGTATAGTTTAGTACCACAAGTACTTCCGGAGGGCGTAGCATAACGAATTTTGCATATGTTATTCCTAACCCCCACCTGACTATGCCATCCAAAAATTATGTCACTACGACGTCACCATCACGTCATAGGGCTTGCTGAAGTATAATTACGATTGCCCGAAATGGCATCTGCGCCGCCAATCTCGCAAACGCCCGCGATCTCTCTCTTATTGGGATCGTTGTGGCGAGAGAACGAGAGAAATAGCTTGCTCAATTTCGGGTGATTGTCTACGCGTTTCGGACGACTATCCGCATACTTTGGTGGGCCTTATTACGCCACTGTGACTTCGAAATGACCTAATTTTTCGGTGATATAGTCAGGTGAGGGTTAGAATTGACTTATGCAAAAATTGTTAAGCCAGGCCAACTAGAAGTGCGTGTGGTACTAAACTATACCAGACCCGAGCAATATCTGGTGTTTATTTTCAAATATGATAAAATTTCTCATAATCCAAACATTATATCGCACTATTGATAATAAAAGTAAAATTACATTCAAATCTACAGTTGTTAGGCTATATGACTAAATATAAAGGTTCAGGAAAATTCAATAATATACAAGAATCATAATTTATTGCAAACAAAATGTATTCTAATTAATTTCAATAATAAAGTAAACAAAATCATAAATTTTCTGGGTAAACTCGCAAGACATAAAATATGTGACACAAACTCAGGTTTTTTATTGCATAATAAACACATTTATTTTTCTGCTACTCTTTTGACAGTTTGATCTCTGGTATATTTATATTACTGGTGGAAATGCTGAAAAAGGTCTCAAATCTGATATTAAAATCACTATAAATATTGTCTAATGTAAACTATATATCTAGCCAGCAAAAAATTGGGTTTGCCAAATGCTGAAATGGAGAAATGACTGAAAACGGCTGCATGAGACGTCCTGTCAAAAATCGTTAGGAAAGGAATACCGTAAACGCAGGTAACTTCGGATGGTTTATAACTTCGGATGAAATTTTCAATCGTTTATATCTCGACTAAATTACGTCATATTCTGCTTCTGGCAGTTTCTATAGAGAGTCCTTATATATCTTAATCTCTTATCATATTCAGTCGCCTAATAGGATTTATTTTTTGACACAAAAAATCACCTTTTTGCCAAAAATTGACACCTCGCTTTTGAGCGGCTAAAATAGCGACTTCTATCGACGCTAACTTCACTAAAAGACCGTCAATCGCTAGAGGGCATACACAATGTACAAGGAAAATTACAGTGATCACGAGATGTCGTACGAGATTCAAGTAAAATATATTATTTTGATTTAAAAATTTCGTCAAAATATCGACGTTACGGTGCTTACGCTGAACGTGACGTCAACAACGTGATTCAATTTCGCTCCATTTAAGGCCGACGTCACATTGCGTAGCTCGTGCGTAACTCGCTGCGACATTTGAACGCCAGACTATGTGGCGCCACGTGTAGTTAAATATAAAGTGAAAACTCCTACCTGATCCTCGTCACCAAATCCTACAAAAACTTAATTATAGCCCCGGTCATATGCTGTTTATTTATTGTGAATCCGATTAATGCACATTAAATTTGTGTGTTAACATTTCGGCATTCTTCGACCGTATAGATGTTGTTGATACGTAAGGCTGATGAACAGCCAGATACGCGTATCTATACTATCACAATGACAAGGTTTTACGATCGGCGATGATAACATATTAAGAGTAGAATGTTGCACAGGTGAGCATGAAACTCTGCACAGGTGCACACAGCAGGAGGTTGGAGGTTTTTGGCGTTTTTATCCGTTTCATGTCTATCTGCCTGTGAATACATTATATCTGAATTATCAACACGGCCACAAGCTACACTGTTCCATATTGTTGTCCACTTCCATTTTTTTTACTTTTACTACCTACCGTAATTCATCATCCATTTTTCTTTTTTATTATTTTCATTCGTTTCATTTTTGTTTTGTATTAAAAATTGTTTTCCATTTTTACTTTCACGACTTATTTTATTCGTCCGTTTTTTATTTTCATTTGTCCCATGTTGTCTCATTTTTGTTTCGTATTGAAACGATCATAATAGCAAGATATAGCACTTTCATGAAATTAAGAATAGTCAAGAGATAAATGGTTTAGTTTTGCGAAACGTCAGGAATAGGGCTGGGCAAAATTATTACATGCGTTGTATTTTGAAGCATTTAGCGGTAATAATTATGGCGCGACACTGTCAAAATCGTCGAGTAAAGTGCTGAGCTCGCAAATTCCGCAGATAAAATTGTGAATTAGTCGGTAACGGTTTTAGCTATAATAACCGTTGGGGTATTGTTTTGTTCAAAAAAAAAGTTAAAACTTGAGGGAAATAGTTATAATTAGTGTCCGACCCGCTATCAGGACCAAAAGCCTTATGACAAGTATAAATGCATAACGGCCAATTTATTCAATCATTATTATAAATAAAAATTCAGTATTCGCACAATCGCGGGTGCAAAGCATAACAACATCAATCATCGTCTTAATAAATATCTCCATCTCGGCGACGATAATAATATCACTGTTCGCTTTAAACTCGAACGATTAATAGTATACAAACGGTGATAAGTAAGATCAAAGCCAACACATAAGATTAAATCAGAACAAAATTAATTTGGGTTTTGAAATCAGTCCTTCTTGTCTTCAAGAGCTGTTGCCGATGTAAAAACACGGGTACACCAGATATATAAAACTTTGATGTCCGCCGACCCGGAAGAATTAATAATCACAAAAACGGCCGTCATAGATGAACGTCAGTGTGCGACACGCAAAACGGATCCCGGCGTCGTAAGTTCTACGCAGCGACGTTATCACGCGTCACTGATCACGCAGACATTTCTCTCTCACGACGAAGTGACGCAAAGCGAAAAGTGGCCATCCGAAGTTAGAAACATTTGGAATACAGATCGGCAGGCAAATAAAGTCAATAATTTGAATGAAAAAAAGTATTGATTGATATGAAACCGAGTTTATCGCGAGGAGAAATGCTTCAATGTATTATATTCCAAGTTTGGCTTCAATTGAACAATAAACGGCGGAGAAATTGTTCATAATATAGTGAAATCATCCGAAGTTACCTGCTTTTACGGTATGAATTATTGACAAAAATTTAGCGTAATTGAAGTTATACAATTCTATTTTGCACTTTTCAACTAGGATATATAGTCTACGGTAATTACTAAAATGAGGAAGCCGTAATATGTACCGTAAAACCGGCTAACTTCGGATGCCTTGTAACTTCGGATGAAATTTTCAATCATTCATATCTCAACTAAATTTCGTCGTATTGCGCTTCTGTCGGTTTCTATAGTAAGGCCTTACATATCTGAATCTGCCGTAGCCTCCAATCGCTCGATTTGATTTTTTATCATTCAAAAAATCATATTTTACCAAAAAAATGACACCGTTTTTTCGAGCGGCTCAAATCGTGACTTCTACAGACGCTACCTTCGTCAAATCACCGCCAAGCGCTAGAGAGCGAACACAATGTATACAAAAAAATACAGTGATCACAAGGTGTCGTACGAGATTCGAGTGAAATCGATTATTTTGATTTAAAAATTACATCAAAATATCGACGTTTTGATGATTACGTACAGCGTGACGTCAACGACGCAAATCCCGTTCTCTCTCTTCGTAGCCGACGTCACTTTGCGTTACTCGCTGCGACATTTGAACGCCAGACATCGCGGCGCCCAGTTTTGTGAAATTTAAAAATTATGCTTATCCATGATAGATAGATAGATAGATAGATAGATAGTTTATTTCGAAAACTCCATAACAAACTTAAATTTAAAATGGAGAATTCTGGAGGGCAAGCAAAACCTACAAAAAAGTTTAAAACATGAAGTATCTCATGTGCCTGCCCACCAGCACGCACACAAAAACACAAGCCCAATTAAATGAGGCTTGGGCCAAACTTAAAAAACAAAATACACGATAGTAATAAACTTTCGGGCTGTTGTACTCTCTTTCAACAATTACGTTGATAATGACCAATACCTACAACCTCATGCAAAGATTATGTGGGGAGTGGAATGTAATAAATTTGCGACGATAGTCATACTCATGAAGCCATGAAAGCTTTAAGAAAAACCAAGCCATGAAAAACTACACTGATTGCTAGATTGGGCATTGCGGAAAAGGTGATAAGTGGTTTAATATACAAACAAACGCAAAACCATGGCGGCAAATTCGGTGTGCGGACACTCATAAAAGCAATTATTAGGAAAAACACTAATCACACGTGAGCAGGTCTGTAGCCTAATTGATACATTGACGTGGCCAACATTGTTAAAACAGTACCGGTATACCGGTATACACACATCCTAGTCACTAAATCCTACAAAAACATCACTATCGTCTCAGTCATATGTTGTTTATTTAAAAATATGGGTATGCATACGCTTAATGCATATGAAATTTGTCGATTTTTGTTTTTGCATACTTCCTCCGACACCGATAGATACCGTAGCAATTGGTAATACGTTAGGCCTGAAACATGTATCTATACGATCATAATGATTAGATATGTCTGTAGATTAGATATGTCGGCAGATGATAATGATATCTTTAACAGGTGAGCGTAGAACTCTACATACATGCACACAGCAGGAGGTTGGACCACATACAGGTGAGGCGCAAAATGAAAAAAAAAGTGGCAAAGTTTCTTTTTGCCGTTTTTATCCGTTTATTGTCATTTGACTTTATTAAGTGAAACGAAAGCGAGGATCGAAAGTCACACCGGGCAGGAACCTCTGCCGAGCCGATCAACGGGGAGCTCTGAGAAAATCAGAAAATATGAAAAGTGATAATCAAGACGAAACCTGCTCTGCTTGTGGATTATGGAATGATCCAAATGGAAGTACGGAAATTGAGGTGGAATGGGTCGGTTGCGAAAGCTGCAGCGAAACACATTGGTTCCACAAGAACTGTTGCAAAGACCCGTCTAACCCATGTGGAAATGATTACAATTCTTGATTTTGCCAGCGTTTCCTTCAATTCATCTGTTTATTTTTAACTGTCGAATTTTTGTTCATACCTTACTTGTTCCATATTGCTTTTTGATTTCAATTTTTACTTTTGCCAGTGTTTCATTCGATTCATCCGTTTATTTTTAATTGTCTAATTTTTGTTCATTCTTTACTTGTTCCATATTGCATTTCAATTTCAACCTACACCAGTGTTAGGTACTTTCAATTCTTCCGTTTTTTTTTTTTGTTAATCCTTTTCTTGCATTGAAAATAAACGATCATAAAAGAACGAACTAGCATTTTGCAATAAATTAGGAGTAGTTAGTGAAATATATACGAGTTATAATAAAGGACACAAGAATAAATAGTTAGGCTTCGCGAAGCGGCAAGAGTAACGTCACGTACAAACGTCAGTATTCAACACGCAAGACAGGTCGTGGCGGCGTAAGGTCTATTTAGCGACGTTGTCACGCGTCATTGCTTACGCAGACATTTCTCTCTCACGACGAGTTGACGCAAAGAGAAAAGTGGCCATCCGAAGTTAGATAATTTTAGAATAGACGAATAAAGACAATAATTTCAATGAAAAAAGGCTTTGATGGATATGGAACCGACTTTATCAAGACGAGAATAGCCACAATGTATTATATTCCAAATTTGGCTTCAGTTGAACAACATGCGGCGGAGATATTGTTCAAAATATAGTGAAATCATCCGAAGTTAGCCGGTTTTACGGTAAGCCAAAGGAAAAACTGAAGCACAACAGTATGATATGCGCGCCAACGGAATCAATGTGCCAAAAGATGTCGCTAATACATCACAAATGGCATAGGATTCCATGTGCCCAAGAAAGAAAATGAAAAAAACGATTTCGCTGGCATTGCGGTGGCCGTTGAACGACCTAATACTACAGTAGGGTTGCCAACCGTCCTTCATTTCAAAGGACAATCCTTTAATTAAGCTTTTCGGTTCTTGTCATTTTTATTAGCATTTAGAAAAGATGCTAATTGTCCTTTATTCTTTCCAACGTCGTTTTGCCCGATAGTTATAGTGCTGTGTTTTTATATGTTCCGTTCTTGAAAAATCGCCTCCGTTCATGTATTTGCAAGCTTTTAAATATTCTTTTTAATTTCGCTTTGGTCTGGCTCAAATAGCCAAAGAAATAACAACTTTATTAACATTGTTTGGGTCAATGTTAAATAAACATAAAATAAAAAACACATAAAGATTGTTTTAATATATCTTTTTAGCTTGTATATAATTTTTATTTCATGTTTCATATTGTTCTTTCCTGCAAGATACGAAATAAATGATGACGGTAATCTTTGTCCTTTATCGAAACTTTTCATAGTTGGCAACCCTATACTACAGCGAATGACGTTTTATTGTTCTTCTACTAGTTCAGGGCAAATATAGCAATGGATTGCCAATTTGCTGATTTCGAGCACGCGCATTTCATACCTAGGATTGTGTTTTTGCTTAATTATTTGTGAGTTGCTTGTCGAGTGCATGTTTCTCATGTTTTAAATTTTTTCAAAATATTACTTGCTTTACAGAATTTGAATTTTATTTGTATTCTAGCGTTTACGAAATGAACTATCTACCAATTAGTTTATTGTTCCTGATGAATGGACTTGCGTGGACCACCCTCTCAGGGGCGTAGCCATGTGGTGGTTTTGGGGGTCGAACCCGCCCTCCCCCTTCTGAAATGTAAAAAATGGAAGCATATTTCTGTATCATATATAGGCATTTTCATAGCTTAAAACGCTTATTAGACCCTCAAGACTCATGAAAATATACGTTTCCCTGCGTTCGACCGGACCCGCTAGCTATTTCGATCTAACTTGTCAAAAAAAAAATTTAACAACCCCCCCCCCCCCCCCCCCCCCTTGAAAATTGCTGGCTACGCCACTGCACCTTCCAATGACAAAAAGCTCATGATTTTTCCAGCAGGGATATTCGGCACCTAATCGCGTTTCTAGTGTCAAATCAATATTTCCAATATAGACTTTCATCTCTTCGCGATAATCATCAATACCTACCTCGGGGAGCTACTCAATTGGCAACTTAAAATTGATGTGTTCGTTAGAATTTTTCTTACTGTTGTTTGGAATAAATCGCTTTTCTGCGCAACTCGTAAATTTAAAATGTTTAGTAAAAGTCCTGTGCATTTGAAGTTTTGTTTGCAAAGTAAAATATATTCTCTGGAACGATCATTGTTACCCCGCCTGTCATGACTGAAGTCGTTTTCTTCCATTGGCGAGAGTGACACCGGGACGCCCAAATGTACCTCAAAGTCTTGCTTTTGTTAATATTTTATGCTCGACTTTTTCCATCATAACTCTTCTCCCTTCACACTGAAATGCCTTTTTTTCGGCATATGTGAAAACATAAACTACCGGCCAATTGACCGGGCCCCAGAAATCCCAAAGCGCTGTGTAGGGATCTTCCATGAAAATATTTGGTAGTCCTGCCCTATCCCATGAATCTTCTAAAAAAATTAAACGTCTACCGCCACGTCGAGTAACGCGACGAAAATTGTATGACAGACATGAAAATATTTTTCTTTGAATTTTTAATATAAAATAAATAAAACATTGCAATATGTAATATAAATGAAACTTTAAAATAAACACACGTAAACAGAATTATAAATAAAAATCAAGTACGAGGTTCAAAACGCAGGAAAATTACCTACAAACGATACAGTGAAACAATTTGAACTTTGAAGGTTTTCCAGGCATTTCGACTTATCGATCTTATTTTTCCGTGCAAATGGTCGTCTCTTAACTTAACGTTAAAATATACCAAAAAACTTCACATCAGGGTCGTGCAGGCTCTGCCAGTCTTCATTATGATCGCTAAAGGCATTTTAAAAACCGTAAATCGGAGTCTTCCTAATATGAAATATTTAAAATAGCGATAGCTTTTATGGTCAAGTCCATTTTAAACCAACAACTGGCTATCTAATCCCATACCCGAAATGGATTGGTAACCGGTCAAGATGACATGGTTCGTCATATGACTGAGCCGTCTTATCGTCTTTCCTAAGGGATAAATAAGTAAATCATATCCCATGGTCATACAGGGTCGCTCTTTATTTTAACAAGAACGTAACGAGGATATTGGTCGGAGACCGAAGACTTATCGATCGGAGGTTAGGGGATCCCATAAAACAGCGCTCTTACTCCATAGTGACACCGTGTGTCCCATCACTAATTAATTAATAACTCGCTAATTATACGACACAATTCACCGAAAATCAATAGGCTTCTGTTCCGAACTATGATGAATGCACATGCAAAATTTGGAGCACATTCAACCTCGCTTTCATGAGATATCGCGCGTATCTAACAGACAAACAAACAGACAAATACCTATCAACATACTTACCGATCTTACGATCGATAAGTAATAATTGCACTGGTTACAATGTAAAATATGGTTTAGCACAGGATATGATTATTCAATATGATTAGCGTCGGTCAGTTATAAATGACAAAACAGAAATGACGGAATTAGTAGTCCACGCAGCTGCGCCTTCCCGCATTTACTGCCACGGCTTCCTCGAGACTAACCCTTCGTTTTTTAACCGCGCTAATACCAGCGCAGCAACCGCCAAGAGCGACTACTTTTCTTTCTTCATCATCTCTGTTCAAAACGTTCGCCCAGGGTAATCGGATTATCTCCCATTTAAAAAATTTCTACTTTGAATCACGCAATGATGACAGAACTCATATTACTTGCGCTGACGCCGAAGTTTTAATTTCAGCAGTCAGGATCAAAGTCTTCCGTTCATGAGAATCCCTCAGTTGCCAGCAACAAAATCACACATGTGTGACTTATCGCCGAATTACTCTCAAATTATCCATCCTTATGCGAACGTCCACGGTCGACCGATGAAAGTTCTTACCGACAATATCCAGTTGCGTAACATATATCACTCATGCACGAAGTAGAATTGACAGCAACATAACCACTCATGCATGGCTTATCCGCCTTGATCACGTTACTCTCAAATCTTCATTCTTATGCAAACTTCTGCGATCGCCGAACAATAACTCTTCTTGTTGCCTCAAGTTTTCCTCACTCATGCAACCTGTCGCATACGTTTGTGAATGTTCGTCTTTACCAAGCCGCTGTAATTATAGAAAAGAATTCAATATTTTCGTTCTCAGGTGAATCTTCCGTCGGGTTCCCAAATCAGGTCAAGTATTGATCGATTTTGCATAAATCTATATAACGGAAAGCTGATTCCGTGATTACGCTAACAACCTTATAGTCAAGTATCTCTATTTTCTAGCTAGCAGTAAGAATCAAACGTACAAAAACTACGAACAAAAGTGAGCCCATATCAGTACCAGTAGGAAAGTAGCTCAGCGCCGAGTTTACTGAAAAGATTAGGGCAGGTGTGGGCTGCTGTGAATCAGCAGATAGGTGTCGCTGACACGATGACTTCATAGTATTTCGCGACTCTTCGTCTATTGCGGAACATTGTGTGTCATTGATTTTTTTTTTATCAATTTATTATTATTATTATTTGATAATAATGTTTCAGGCATGGCGAAATAAAATATCTGAATCTGAATCTGGGCAAGCGTGGCGGATCAAAGGTCATAAATAGCGTTTCCAGTGGGTCAAAGAAAACACCAAAATTATAGGTATATAAAACTAACCTCCTAGTTATTTTTTTACTTTTAAATAATGAAGATTTTTATATCAAAAAGTTTTTAGGATGCGGAGTAAAGCGATTATTTCCCAATATCAACAATTTAGTAAAATGATTTATTTGCAAAAGAAGTGTGTAGCGTTGAAAAGTTATGTAACTCACCCGCATTAATTCCAGTTGTCTCTGAGCTAAATAATAAGCGGTTCCGGATCCGACAGCTGGTTGCATAGGAATGCAGGTATCTGGCAACACTTCTCCGCTTCCTGCGTTACCAATCGGTCGAGGACGAACCATCGGTTCTGAAAATGTAGTTTTTACAGGTTAGACAAAAAATATCAATTCGGAAATTTTAGCTGCCCTGGGCTATAAAGTTGCATTTCCAAATTTTTAAAGATTCGAAAATTTAAAATCGGGATTGGGAGTCAAAATTTACAAATCCCGAGTAGACAACAAACTTCTTTAAACCACATGATTATTCATCTGAGGAAGTCTGATTTTGGGCAGACGAAATGTTACAGAAATATATTTGTATTAATGTGCAGCAGACTCTTTGAATTGAATACTATAGTCGATAATTTTAATTTCGGAATATGACATTTTGATTTGAGATTGAGCTTAAACTACGCAGTTGAATGGTCGAAATTTCCGTACCCCGGAGCTAGGTCGGAATTTACACTGTGGTGGCGAGAGTCTAAAAATTTAAAACTTCCAAGTCGGACCCAAGATTTAAAACTCCAGTGCTAGAGTCCGAAAACCGAAATTGCAGTTGAGTTGGAGTTGATATTTCAGGCAGTGGCGTATCTACTTAATGGCGCCCATGGCAAAGTCTAAAATTGCGCCCCCTTTATAGCTGTTTGAAAATTTATAATGATTATTAATGAATTAGAATACTTCTACGTTATTATTTGAGTAAAAATACATGTTTCAGTTATTCCCAATTTGAAACTATTTCATTGGAACGTTTCATTATTAATACTTTTCGCCGTTTTTTGCGCCTCTGTTTAAACGGCGCCCATGGCACCAACCATGGATGCCACACCCTAGATACGCCACTGATCAGGATTTGTCGAACATTCGGCCTGTTTCTCAAAGATTAGAAAACCAATTTCAGCGTAAGATTTCAAACCAACCTGATTCAGTGTCATCCGCGTTGCTGCAACTTCTTCCATCAGGTGGCATCGAGAGTCGAGTATTCATTGGCGTTCGTAGGCCAGGCGGTATCTTGGCTGTAAAGGTCGTTAATAGTATGGTTAGACAATAATCGCAAATCCTTTAGAAAAAGTTATCGAAATATAATCAAAATTTTTTGTTGAACATTTTGGGGATTTACACATAAAACCTCGCTGCAAAAGCGATTTTTGATTACGAACAACGGAAAAAGTGTTTTGTGAAAGAGGAGAAGGCAAAACGAAACCCAGATGAATGAGTATGCTTATTACTGGCGAGAGTATTAGACCTGACTAAGTTGTTGTGTTGTACCAGCTGTCAAAGCCCAAGCCGAACCCCCGCCCTCAACTCTCATGCCATTTCACTTAGAGTGTTAAAAATATGATAGGCAATGCTGAAAACCTGGGTTATATATATTGGAGTAAAGTGCGCGAATAGGCGCCGTATATGAAAACTTACATTTCTTGTTTTTTCTTCTGCAATGCACAACAACAACAGCTACCATAATGAATATAATGAGAAAGCAGGCAGCGATGCCTCCGAGCACCACCGGATTGTTAGTTATCGTCTGCTCAAACCAGGCTCCGACTCCGGTCAGGGTTGAATTTGTCGTTCGAGGAATGGAAGTAAATCTGGCATCGGGAGTTGGTTTAACTGAAACAAAATAAACATTAGTATTCTAAATGAGCGTTCAATTGTTATGAAACGATATTATTCTGGCTAGATATGCTTGGTTGATTTTCTAGACAATATATAATATTAAAATCAAAAGCATACATAAAGACGATTAGATGACACAATCATATTGAACAACGGCATCTCGTGTTTAAGATAGTTATCATGTTATTAGATATGTATAGACTTAATTGCTAATAAAAACGAAACCGACGGCGATTATGTTGTCTCTTTGACGTGGACGAGTTCAAAAACCCTCTCACAAATAATTTGGCGCTTCAGAAGTGTGTGTACCAATACGGAGGTAACTAATTTTGTTCTCCTACTTTACATCAAGTTGTATAAAGGTTCTGAAACCTATGGACAGGGGGCATATTTACTTGGCTAACACAGACAATCCCCGAACTCGTAATAGAACTAAAATAGGAAAATCAGAATAAAATTATGGGCTAACCCCAACCTGGTACACGTGCTACGGCACTAACCATAATTTTGCCTCACGGCGTTCGAAACTGCTGAAACACGCAGAGTAATAATAGAACACATGTCAAACATGTTTCTAACATCAAGGCTCAAACACGTAAGTTGTCAAATTGCATTCGTGAAATATCAACTTACCAACTGGTTCATATGAGAGAATAAATCCACAAGAATTCAGATTGTCTTCTACTTTCGATCTCACCCATTGTATAATCACAATATTGCTCTTTGACATCGCAGTTGGATATTGTGATGTCATAGGCCAAGATGTTCGTCCGTCTCTGATCGTCAACATCTCGTCTCTCGCAAGCTGATAATCCAGCAACTTGAAAAGAATATTGTGTCCAGTTGGGACACGAAGAGTCCAAATCTGCATTGGAAAGAAATAACTCATAATGAGGATAAGCCATGTATAAAAGAGTTTAATATGCAATTCATGCTGCACACTAACATAAATGTATTTATGAAACGTTTCGTTTGACTGAAATAAACTTCTTTGGACAAGCAGTTCACAACAATTTATTTATTTATCTCCGTTACGACGGTACTACATACATCCGTGCGCAGATAAATAATTGAACAACTTTTATGCATTGGAAGTGAGGCCGTTTTGAGGGCCACAAAAAATTTGTTCGCGGGCCGTATTTGGTGCGCGGGCCGCAGTTTGCCGGCTATCGATATGTATGATGACAAACTGATGCTGGCAGTAATAACTTACCACAGAATCTTTGCAATGTTTGGTCAAAGACGATACGAGCACTCCTTTGTCTTCTGCTTTGATTGAACACCCGCAATCACATTGTTTATCGTCATCTATGGATGACGTCATACCACTTGCGTAACAACTGCCTGGTATGACGTCATCAGATATATTAACTGCAAGTTCGGTAAGTGACCTCTCACCTAAAATAATGTTCAAAAACAATGGTGATTATTCTTCCAATATGAATGCACAATAAATAAATATTGTAAGTCGTAAATCTGAATGCTGGCTGATTTCAGACTGAGAAAATCTGTTCGCCAGAATACGCCAACAACGTCACAGATGGTTAGAAAAATCATTGCTGAAAAATTATTAATTTTCTACATCCTCTCCCGCTTCGTTTCTAGAAATAAATTCATGTATGTGATACTGCGTCTACACGCTTTCTTACCATTTTTATTTGAACAGATTTCTCCGCCTCCCCTTGGTTTAGGATTGTCACAAACTCTCTTGCGCCTACTAACGGTTCTCTGGCAAGGACGCTTGCATGTTGACCAAGACACCCACGGAGACCACGAGCCGGAAATCTTGAGGCCTGAAATAGGTAAAACAGTTTTGAATAAACTGTCCTAATAGATCGAAATTTCCAACTCGGAGTCAACCCCAAACCGGAGTTGCAAATGGTCAGTAGGTCAAGTCTAAAGTGGGGGTGAGGATCAAGATTTTCTGAACATGAATTGGAGAGCCATCAAGTTGATGAATAAATATTCCTCGGGGAGAGCCGGTAGAAGGCCTAATAATGTGGCGAATTATGGTATCACGTCAATCGATCATCAATCCTTTTACCTCAAATCATAATAAATATAAATCAAAACAGCGCAAAAAGTAAACAGATAAACAGAATGGAGAGATACCTGGGAGGCGTGCATATCTTAAATTAGAGTCTAAAAACGTAGTAGTGCGCTCCCAGCCACGAAAAAAATACATAAAAGAGTCAACGCGATTCAGAATCGGGAAATACTTTCAACGCAATTTAAAATGAGAAAACCAAAAGAAATATACCGAATATGAGAACAAGTGAGATATACTTTCTTAAGACTTGTATATTATTTGTAAAGTGTATATACTCCTGGTTGAATTATGCATGACGATTGTCGTGGCATGGACTTGATCAACATGATACATTCGTAATGCATAAGATCTTACCAGATTCCTTGTTAACAGGCTCGCATATAGTCCTGGCAACGTGTCCTCCCTTGACGACATATTGGAAACAGAATCCTTCCACTGTCTGATTCATGATGTAAAATGACGAACATGAAAATGTCACGTGATCTAAACCGCGGAAATAAAGGTTAATGGAGGCAATTGAATAGCTAGTAATAGTGCAATATCACTGATTGCTAATCGATTCAGAGGAGAGAAAGGGGTTTGGGATTGATTGTTAAGCAGTAAACTGCATTGTGGCACGCCATATGCTTAATTCGTCTTATCGGCTTCTCTTCCTCGAAAAAAACATATACAACTAGCATATACAGCCACTAGCATATACAGACAACAACATATGCAACCAATAGCATATACAACCACCTGCATATACAACCAACCTTCATTTCCTCTATTCTGCGAATCCACAACTTTCATGGTTCCATTTGAAACCGACAACAGACGAACGGAATCTTCTGTCGATGCGCAGGGAGGGTAAGATAACGACACGATCACCCCTGCACCTGGGAAATTAGTTTAGTTAAATTATATTTTGGGATGCTAGTTTACTTAGAAAGTAAGTTCGGACCCATCAGAGGGTGTCAAATTTGTTTTATCTGTCATGAAATCAAAACGCATTGTACTACGACATATAGTTCTCGTTTCGTGACACCATTTTCAGTATCACTTCATTAACTTTGTATTAAGAAGTTCAATATGACATCAACATGGAAGTCATACAGACAACTTTTCTATTACGAAGTTAACCTTTCACACACGCTCAACTTTAATAACGTTAATCTTTTTTGCGTCACAGTTTATAACATGCTTTTCCAGCATATGAATATTTCGAATATATCAATCGATAAGGGAATAAAATGTGAGTCTTTTTTTCGTCAAAACAAGTATATCGATATTTACCTTGGCATGGAAAGGCATGTTTGAGCAATTTCAGGTTATAATCTGTGCTCCATTCCACATTCATGACGTCACTTGTAGAAATAATGACGTCATCAGTCGGGGACGTCATAAATAATTCCACTTGGTACATCCCTACGTTTTGAAACTCTTCACAGGGTAATACGGTGTAGGAAGGGATAAAAGTCTCTGATGACGTCATAACAGGAAAGATTTTGAATTGTCTTTGCGCGCCTTCGATCAATGAAGTGAGACCTCCTGTAGTGACAAAAAATTGTAAGCGTTAGGTAGGACATTGTGCTGCGCTTGTTTTTAACAATATTTGGGTCGAAGGCAAAAAGACAAAAGTCAATAGACAAAAAGTAAGAATTTGAAATAAATACCACAAATATACTAATAAAACGCTGAAATACGTCTCTAGTTCTTGTAAAAAGGAAAGATTCATGAAAACCAGCAAGCGAGGTAACCACGGAAACGGTACGGGGGCACATCAAATATCCTACCTTTCTTGTTGTTCCCGTTATCCAGTTTCTTCATCTTTAGATATAACTTATTCTGGCGTGCGATATCGGATCTGCACATTTTGCCTTCAACCGTTAGCGATACCTGAACATGTAGAAAGAACAGTTTTAGTCTATTTATTCAGATTTTTTGTTTCTTCAAGTCGATCTATTGATCTTAAACGGAGAACTGATCGACTCTTCCCATATCCGACAAGGACTGGTATCGAGACAAGAGGCTGTTGCCGGTGTAATAAAACGGACGCGCAACACTACCGAGCCAGAAATATTCCGATCCTTACAAAATAGTTGCTGTACTTAATATTAGTCGCAATTGGCGCGGTGGCGTTAGAATTAAAGATCATAGGATCCAAATCCAGGGGGTATCAAGAAATCTACGAACGTAGATCGTACGATACAGATACATGCCATTCTTCTGAGTTTGAATCTCACAACAAATACAACACCAGATTAGAAAACCAACCTTCACATCTGTAGTCAAAGCTTCGTGGGTTCTTTCCCAATCTATCTTCACTTTGGGCCAGCTCTGTGCTGGGACAGGTCGACTGGAAGCCAAGATTTCACCTGTGAGAGATGAGATGTGAACAAAACTTTATTTTGCGAACTAATTACCGTTTATAGACACGAACGGGCAAAGAACATAAATATATAGTGTTCTATCAGCTTTGTTCATATCACAGTACGTACTTTCACAACTGTTACAGGGAAAATAATACAGTCAGGCCAGGGATGTGCAAAAGGCGGCCCGCGGGTCACAACTCGCACTTTCTCGCTTCTGTCAAGACGCATCTCAGTGTTCAGTTCGTTTTTTTATTTATTGGGTATTTGTGTCGTTTACGCACAAGACTTCGACTTCGGGTAATACAGGGGTGGGCAACTTCTCTAGTCGGCGGGCCGGATTATTACAAAAAATACTTCGGTACCCAATCTTTATTAAATACTCGACACTCTGTCAACTTTACGTTTCTTGGGATATTCCATGGTTAAAAGACTTAATTAAAAATCCAATTTCTAAAATCTATTTATATTTAGAATATAAATATAACTGATAACAGTAGTGGGGAATGTTTACAACGCTCTCTGCTTTGACCTTATATTGTTTGTTTAACAAGTGTGCTAACGCAATTGTTTGTTCACTAAGGGAATTGTTTATTTCACCAGCTCGCATTGACAGTGCTGTGAGAGTGGAGCGATCGGCAACTTTCAGGAATGATGCGTCGGACCACATTACAGAGTGTGATTGGATACAGTCCGCGGGCCGGTCAAAATCTCATCGCGGGCCGTATGTTGCCCACCCCTGGGGTAATATATATGAAGATAGTGTCTTCTGCAACTTGGTCAAGATATTATGACGTAATAGTCGTACCTTCTGTAGATCGTATCTTGAACTGATATGACCCGGCGTTGAAGAAATATCCGCAGTTGAAAATGAGAGTCGAAGTCTGGAAGACAAATGTTAGAATTATTACGATAAATTGGCAAAAACCTATGGGAGAGAGGTTGCTGAATCGTTCGCACTTATTACTCGCTTATTCGGCTTCGATTGAAAAGAATGCATCTGAGAATATTTAGATAAATGGGGTTGTTTCAACTCCACCCCCCTACGTTCATGACAAGCCCAGAAAATCAAACAAACGAACCTCTGATGACTTTGTTATCAGTTGAGCAGTTATTGGTTCATCTTCATTGTTACCGAACAATTCAACAACATCACCGATTCTTGCATTTCTTGTTTGTACAACAACGTCATCACTGAACGCTTGAATGGTCTCTGGAACAATCAGTTCGGGGTCGGTCGACGCAAAAACTGAAAAAAGGGACTAAAATGAGCATTTTAATGACAGAAATATCGGGCACCGAAAGACTCAAAATGTTCTAAAAAATAGGAGTATCCTTCTTTTTTGTTTTGTTGCTGTGAAGATATTTTATTTTCACAACTGATGGGCCGATTGGATAGCTATCCATGCAATTTTCCGATTCATTTTAATTCAAGAAAACACATTTTTGACCGCTCTATCCATATATTTGAGCATTGCGCTCTTATTATTATTATAAGCCAACGTTTCCCAAACAAGGTGGAATTTTGCCTTGCATTTTTCACAAATATTTTTTAGTCATTTATTAATATTATTACTAACGCCGTTCTTCAAGGAGCCCTCATTTTACAGACAATTGTTGTGTTTGCTCCATATATCTAAACATTTGGAAGATTTTTAAAAATCGGAGTATTAGCTCCAGGCTTGTCCATGGGAATGGGACAACACTCCGCTGTATTTCCCTTGGGACACATGGGACACGAATTTTTCTTTTTATCATTATGAGAAAAATCGCTTTCCTCTCAAACCATTACCTTTTTTTCTAAATTTTCTATGAATGCCACGAGATCTGATATTTCATCCAAAATTACCGTATACCGTATGGACTTCGTATAATCGTAACCATGTATTTGAGCATAGCTTTCTTGTTAGTGATATATAGTTCTGAATTTTTAAAGTTAAGTCAATAAATTTGTCGTTTTGCATGTCTCTTTATATACGTAGCCCCACTTAGCAGACGCTAAACCTAGATTTAGCATTTTTTATTGAAAATTATTTCTAATGGGAATCCCATGGGATGGGACGAGACAAAAAAATGTGTCCCGTGGACAAGCCTGATTACATCTCAATAAGTAGCAAAGAAGACCCATCTCTAAGCAAATATGGGCCGGAACTGAAAGGCCATGAACTACATGTTTTAATACAGCGGCGTTGTAATGTGATATTCATAGCCATCTTACATGGCCAAGTATGTTCAACACCTGTAGAGTTTTCTGAAAATTACCAAGTCTGTCTCGGGCATTTTATTGTTATTGTGAAATAACAATAGCGCCATAAAAGATCTTGAAAGCGATACCGATGTCGTAAAACCAAATAAATTGAATTAAAAGTTCTGGCAACAGAAGTTTAACGGAGACTCCCATCTGTTGGCACTATAAATTGGATTTTATTGTATCTGTTGCAGGTTGTTTCTTCGACCTTTAAAATCTGCTGCGATAAAACCAGAAGTTCACGATGTCAAACTGCAACTATATTATAGATAGCACAAACTTTCGCAAATCTATATGGATGGGGCCTGAGCAGTACCGACCTAACACAAGGGAAGCCATAATGGAGGCTAATTATGCATTTAGCTTAAGTTAAGTCGGCACTGCTTCGCTTGTGCTCTTGGCTTAGGTCTGGATCATTTTTATGGTGGGAGGGTATCAAATCAGTATGGTATCAAATCAGCTTAAAGTGGCTTTACATATATCAACTATATATACATATATCTACTACATATATTTTACATATTACTTTACATATTATTTTACATATATCTACTTCAACAACAAGGTAAACAGACGTATTTAACGCAGAAACGCCACGATAATCTCACACGTTCCGAAGCAAACCTGCCACAGAAACTCCGTGACCTTTTACACGTCCCAGAGAACCTATTAAAGCTAGAACTAATTGAGTGAAAATATCACGAAGAATGAGAACCACCCGTTCCTGTTTTAAACAACAACTTGTTTTTAATTTGTGACGTCAATAGCTGCCTTCGTTTTGATAAGATCGGAAAGTACTCGGATTTTTTTACAAATATTCAATTTGTTTCGTCTTTAAGAGAAGTCCGTTATATTTGGTTACATTTATGGTTGCATTATTTAAATTTAATATCCATTCTATTAATCGTTTGCGCAGCAAGGTGCCAATTTGGTGAGCTATCATTTAAATTGAACTTTAAGCGGCTTAAACCCCGGGAAGTCATAAAATCGTATTATAGGAGATTTAATATTAAATCCGCAGACGCCGTTTAGGAACGTTAATACACGTTTGAATGATTGCTATTGAACGATGCACCGTTATGAGCGCTTCTGTTATTTTTTGGTGATTGAAAGCACCCATTTCTGAATATTTTTATACGGTTCCAAACACTGGATAACCAGTTATACAGTACCAGACTGCAATTTCATGGTTCTCTGTTAACAACTAAAAACGCTTCAAGTGTCTTAAAATATATGGTTAGAAATTCCGGATAACCGACCGCAGATTTCTAACTCAATTCATGACTCCATTTGCTATTACATTCTACGCTGTGAAATTTACTGATATTTTTATGAACACTCAAATATACAGGGTGTCCATAAAGTCTATTTACAATAACAATTTTGTTATGAAGTCAGTTAGTTCTCAATATATCGTAACCAGGTTTGTTGTTTTTTAATCGGTAAAGTATTTTTACATCATTTAAATACCTGCGAGGGCTAAAAAAAATATATGGTATCGATAAATTCCCTTTGCAATTTAAATTTTTTAGGACTTCATGACTATGGACACCCTATATAACTGGAAAAAAGTGTTTTTTGCAATCTAACTATAATAATGCGGTAAAACCCCGGGATGCCTAAGCAATCGGACTAAATAAGATTTAATATTCGAATACCAACCGACGTTGAGGAACGTTAAACACACGTTTCATAATGTTATTGTTATTAAATGGATTATTTGGCAACACGTTTCTCCTTGAATAATCCTAAACGTTATTACAGTAATCGCTTTCAATTACCACTTTGCTGAAAATTGGATTATTCGACAATATTGGGGTTTGTGTCTTATTTAACGCGGAGCAATGAGTCGTTTTTCTATGGTTTGTATTTGTTGTTCTTGGGAAAAATTGCCTGCGATCCGAACAGACTTAATTTTAATTAAATTACCCAGTAAATTATTTTCCAATGGGGCGCATGCTGCGACGTTTGCTGACGCATATAAATATATTTTGGTATAAAAGCCGCAAGTCAAAAATATGCGATAGACGCATAATTTTTGGAATTATTAATTTTAGAATACAGTGAACAGAAAAGAAGTTTACACAAACGGCCCGAGAGCCGCGGTTTGTACACCGTTGTATTATACTTTTGAAAACTTGTCATCTCTAGCAATATTTTGGCACCAAAAATGATCAAAGTATAATGATGGTCGCATACTGTCTAATTAATTATAACTACGTTACTTGATATCACGGATACGACGCCACTCCTGTAAAACCCACAAGACAAATCCGTGTAATTGTATATTCAAATGTTTCGATTACTACAAAATTATACTAACCTTGTCCAATTATGGCGCAATAAAGTAATATATTGAACACCATTCTTCCAATTTCTAACGACAACTCGAGCAAACTTATCTTTGTCAAAATGTAAATCCTTGTTTCGTGTGTCTCCTGTTTATTTTAACTGTAAAGATAGCTCCGTTTCTTCAAGACTTTGAGGGCTTTATTGTAGACCCAATTCGTCTATCTGTTTTATAGTAATCTAGTGTTTTTATATCTTATATAGCTGGAGAACGAAAATTTGTAAATGTCACAGAAAGGCCCGAGTAGGGGCTGGATTAAAGTTACTCCGGCTCCGGATTTTAACTAGTAAAACTTTAAGCTCCGGATTAAGCTCCGGATCCGGGAAATCTGAAAATTCGAATTCAATACCTCGTTTCGTGCGCTCTCGACAAACTTTTACAGAAACTCCCAGGAAAACATCATAACTTCATATATATATATATACCTATAACGTTTCCAAAGGCTCCAAGAACGGTGATATTAAGCGTGTACATACACTTCTAACGGGAAAGAAAAAACATAGTTGATAACGGGGTAGTCATTATTAAAAACCCAAAACAAACAAGAATAATATGATGTCATAATCCAAATATGACATCACAATATTGTCTCAACGATTGAGGAAGACATGATAACGCGTGTCCTTCTAAATAACGACACTGGTTTTGTTATCAGTTGACAAATAATATTTACAATTTATGAGAAATTATTAATTTAAAAATGGATGCTAGCTTAATTACCTAACGGAAATCGAGAGTATACTGATTACAAATAGATAATAAAACTAATTGACAGCCTGAAACTCAGTCCTGTTCCGGGGCGACTAATAAAGCATCAGAAATAAACAGAAATATACAAAATACGATTCTACTAAAATACAATAAGAATATAAAAGCTTATATAACAGTAATAGAAGAAGTGTTTGTCTTTTGCGAGGAAATCTAATGTGCGAGCGACTAGTTTTACCGGGAATCCGAATTCCGCTACTTCAACGTTTTTTCCTAGTATGCAAATTACCTGGTTACGCTACATGACTACTCCGGACAGAATAGTAAAACCAGAATGCACGGCATAGCTCGATAACAAGACATCTCGCAAACTCGCCTACACAAGACTTCAGAGACTATTCTACGCTATTGCAATAAGTAAACCAGTCCAGACGATCTTCTCAGGTCAACTCTAAAATTCATCTCAAACATAACTTTTTCAGGAGATTAAATCTCTCAAGTTCTGTCTGATGCATTTTAGTACCAACTTTGTCGTTTGCAATCAAAGGAGCGTCTCCGAGCAGAATATTACCATCTACATACAATAGCGGTTGTGCTGCTGTTCAACGCTTTAACCTGAGCATTAATGACTCTCTCAAAATTTCCGATCTGCTATTAGAAATCAACGAAGCGTTACTAGCCAAAATAATATCAGCCACATAAAGTAATGCCAATGCTGTCATTTAACGCTCCATTGGTTCCGAGTTGCGAGCTAAATGTGAACTAAACGAGAACACTCGAACCAGCCCTCATTACAAACGGAATGTTTTTGTTCAAATATTGGAATTTATTCGGCAGGTTTTCAAGCCAATGAATTCATACCGCAACGAAAAGTTCCAAACCGAACATTGTTCATTTTCTTGTTTTATTGAATTATAGTTACATTTACGTATAACAGCTTACCTATCTAAAATGGCGCCCATGTCTAAGTCTGAAAATGCGCCTTTTGATCGTTGACTGGCAATTTTTAACGACTGTTGCTAAATTGAGATACTTGTACGTTATTATTTGAGAAAAAATACGAATTTAATTTATTTACAATTTCGAATTATTTTATTGAAATTTTTTACGATTAAAACTTTTTCACTGTTTCGCTTCCCTATGCAAACGTCGCCCATGGCACGACCTATCGCTGCCATACCACAGATACGCCACTGACTACGACTCACGCGGCGATGAGTGTTTGTATTGAAAAGGTGACGAACTTAATTCTGCTGTAATGGCAATTACGTCATCGACTGACGTCACCTGATCTGTACATATCGTAGAAAATCAATTCAATATGATTGCGGACTGCCCTACGACCAATTTGCTGATCTTCTTATTCAATGATGATTATCTTTGATTGGGATAACTGGACGATGAGCTATCTTGTCCTAACTTAACCTACAAAAAAAATCGAACAGAACAGATCATAAAATTGTGGCGAGGCAATAAAAAGATAATACCTTGTAAAATACCACGTTGAATGTGCTATTATCTTTTCATGTTCAAACCTTGAATTTACTATCATCTCATACTACGACGACATTCCGGTTTTCGTTCAAACACAGCCACATAATGTCCAACCACAAAGCGCTGTTCTGAACGGAACAATGTTCATTTCTTTGTCGTTTGAAATTTACCGCCGAACAATTTTACTTTACGACGCCAGACGCTTACGCCCACACGTGATGTAAAAGCCGTGATAAAACTGAGCAAACGTTAATACCTAATATGTGATGAGGAATTTTAAATTCAGTTCTATTTTAGTGCCAATGACGTCACCATATATGACGTCACATAACTGAGTAAGCAACATAGTGAATATTTATCAATGTTAGGACCCACAAATGCTAAAAATGAATCTATATCTTTCTAATTTCTTTGAGGTATGGCGCTGGGTTTGGCGTATTTTATAATAAAACTTTATACGCGAAGAGACTGTAATTAAGCCGTCTCGTCTCGTATGCCGCCTCAGTTATAAATGTTTATTCAATGTAAGATTTTGTGAAAAATGATTAAACAGCCACTCATTATTTTTCTGTGAATGTGGACTTCCCATGCTTGATATACGCAGTTGCCTGGCGTGTTCTACAAGTATCCTGATTCAACACAGTCGTTGCGCAAAAGGTTTTCTCAGTGAAGTAATCACACTGCTCTCATTGTACCGTATCATACTAGACCTAAACATTTCCTAAACTCGTATACTTTAAAAGTTGCTGACTCAATAAAATATATGAGGGTGTTTGTCCTGGTACTGGTACACATACTACGGGAGTGTCCTCTTAGCGGCCTCTCCCAACACTACACGAAATTCAAAAGTCACACTATGTTCTGTAAACGCCTCTTGCCACACTACAGCAACGACGCATTATCGTCCAATTGCGAATAGCAGACGACATTTTAATCTTCTATGAACGGTAGTTTATTGCGTCATAAAATCACAACAAAGCTTCCTTTTTTTATTAACGCTGTTGTAAAGAACCTGTAAAACCAAAATTAATTTAGAGTAAATAAATTGTTAATAGTATAAAAATCCGCAAAATCGAAATGAATTTAAGAGTAAACGAATTGTTAAACAGTATAGAACCGTGTGCTCATCGTTTTGAGAGGAAAAGTAGTAATTTATATTGAGGCATGTACTGTCCTTTGCCACTTATTCCTGATATATTCGCTTAAATTCATATTTATTATATTACGACAAGTTGTCAGAATGTGAGGCAGAGCCTCGCTACATGGGTACTATCATGGCATCGTGACCACTACTGACCCATATTCTTGAATTATGTTTACCCTTATATCAGTGGTTCCCAAGCCCTTTTCAAGCAACCCAAATTTAAAAAAAAAAACTTTTGTAAAATCTCGCAACCTTGAGATATTCTCAAATACTAGGCGGTATGTGATGCTACAACTTGAATGGTCACAACATTAACTGACTGACTAATAACAACAAGGTTTTCACGCTGTGATACTTCCCACATATACAATTACTATTGAGCAACACTTCAATACAAATATAAAAAAAAATAATAAAATATACTAGAAAATAAAAGCAATGACTTTTAAGTGTTTGTTGAAAAAAACCAGCAGCTTGAGAAAATATTCAGACGACCCAATTTTGGGTCCTTCACTGCCTCAAATTATCTGAGCCCCTAAACAGAAATTGTTACAAATGACCTGAGTTCTGATTTTAAGGCCATCCTGTACTTATATGCGCAGTTAATATATCCATTTGCAATAACTATTTCTATCGACCAAGCCACCCTCTATATAAGCTCGGCATCAGCAGACTACAAAGCCGCCGCTTTGAAGGTGCGTTTCATTCACATGTTAATGGATTAGATCGGCGTTCTAATCCGAAAAGCAATTCATCACGACAAAGTGTACAACGGATTATTTACAAATTATTACAAAGGCGTTTTACTGCATAAAGTCCAGTATTTTGTTTGTGATTTTCAAGTTCTCAAATTTCTAGGCTGCTTGAATTTTGATATAAAAAGCGGTACTCCCGAAGTATGCGAACCAAGATGGCGGACATCGGAACGTAACATGGGTAACAGGTTAGGATTAGGCGATAATTTCTTTCCAATTTTCCTTATTTTAGTCCTATTATCAGTTCGAAGACTAGCCAAGAGCCTCCCGTAGTATTTATACCTAAAATTATGGCCTAACCCTTACCTATAACGTAACATGGGTAACAGGTTAGGGTTAGGCGATAATTTATTTCCAATTTTCCTTATTTTAGTCCTATTATCAGTTCGAAGACTAGCCAAGAGCCTCCCGTAGTATTTATACCTAAAATTATGGCCTAACCCTAACCTAGTACACATATTACATTCCGATGTCCGCCATCTTGGTTCGCATACTTCAGGAGCCCCTTTTTTTGTGCCGAATTGAATTCCAGAGCCAATATGGAATAATTTAATTATATATATATCTTTTTTATTATTATGCCAATTAGAGTGTCAATTTTGGTTTCTTACAATTTTTTCAAAGTCACAAACTACGCGCTGGAATGCGAAGAGCTCCTGAAACTATTTCGAATTTCTGCAGTTCATAACCCGCCAATAAATACTAATCGACTCCAGCTCTACTCAACTACTATCAACAGAGTACGGTCCAATTTAAAGCGCAACCGCACTCTTATATCAAGTAGTGTATTGTTGTTACAAAGTAGCAAAGTGAAGTATCCAGAATTGAAAATCAAATAACAAAAGTATCGATCTCAAGTGATCTATAAGCGCTTTAACGAGTCTCACTTAAGCAAGCGAACGTTACCCCTCAAGTATGCCACGTCTTCTGAAATTCCTGGGCTCCAAACACAATTTGAAATCACAACCACGTGTGTTATCGCACATTGTAAACAATGGATCACTGTTGCTCAGGCCTGCTTCTTATCTCAAGCTACATCTGTGCAATCTGGACTTGATCAACTCATCCTATACTCGTAGAAAAGTGGTTCTCAATCTT